GTATTTATGTGGATTTACATTATGACTGTTAAAAATTAGTTCCTTTCGTGCATATTTTTTAATGGATCATGTGTCTTGGATATAGTCAGGCCAAAGTAATATTTACACAAGGAATTAGGTTAGAAATTCAGTGTATTTGGAGTAGATTCGAGAATTGAAAATTAGATATGATTTGCATATTTTCGAATCCACACATCCCCAAGCTACCTTTTTGTTATCATTCTCCACGAAAACTAATTCAATTTATCAAATCCTCCCTAGTTTCCATGCCATTCATCATTAAAGCAACATAAACTGACGTAAATACCACTTCCAATAATTTGTAAATGCCAATAAAAAAGTTATTACAGTCATTTTTTATTTAATAATAAATATGACAATAAAATTTCAGGTCTCATAAGTATCTTATTTACCATGATCACGTTTCGAGTAAAAGATACTTTTTTATGTGAAAATTTAATAAAGATATCAAATGATGATAAATTTTTTTCAAGACTTTTTGTGTAGCGTTAAATTACTTGTGTGGATAAGAAGGAGGATTTGTAGTTTTTTATGTGAAAAGTGCATTAGGTTTGGGAATTAGAGGTGTGGTTAGATTCAAAAATAATAGGAAGTAATTTTAAAGGATTTTTAAAATTATGAAACTATTTTTTAAGGAATTAGGAGCATAATCTATAATTTTAACTCTGATTGAGGGTTTAGAGCAGAGCTCGAAGTCGATTCGAGTTGACTAGAGTCGAGTCAACTTTATTTTATTTTTTTTTGAGTCGACTCAATTCGAGTTGATTTGAACCTTATCGACTTCGAGCTCTAGTTCAAACTGCCTTTGGTCCCTATTTAGCTCCAAGTTTTAAGTCAGAAAACACTTTTCAACCCACCTGATTCTCCCTCTGTCAATAGAATTCTGAATTATTTCAATTCATTGCAAAAGCACTTCAGCAATTACACCATGTGCTCAGTTTAGTCTGTTTGCTATTGTGAAAAAATTTCCTTTTATTTATCTTCATAAAAAAAAATGTTTCCTGAACAAACCACAAAAATAGATGCAACAATAGATTTATTTTTTCATGTTTCTACTTAAATAAATTGATTGTAAAATAAATCACTTTAACTTTTCAATACACAAAATTGAAGTTTTATTGAAAACAAGAAATTAATGTTAACCGTAAGGGGACAACAAATTGTGGTTAAAAAAGCCAAAAAATTATTTAAAAACCAAGGCAGTAGTACTTAAACAATGCTCTTTGCCACTCAACAATATTCATTTTAATAATTTGATCAAATTCCTAATCAATTTGTAACTGTGATCTGCCTTTCTCACTTGCAGACTTCCTACATTTTTAAAAGCCTAGATTTCTTAAAAACCACACTCAAAGGACTTATTTTAGATGTCGAACGAGAGCTTATCGACCAAAGTTTGGTCATCAAACTATTTAGGACTAGGACAAATTTCCAAAAATCACTACAAAACTTTCAAATACTTCAAAAAAATTTCAAAAGAACACAATGGTTTGATAAATAAAATTGCATGACGAAGATGCTTTTTAACGAATTGTCATGGTTCAATGCCTTCCTCCTCTCCATTCATCTGCAATTTTTTTACTTTTCCTCATCGTCATCATTGTTACTGTCCTTTCCAATCGTGCAGTATTGAAAAGAAATATCGCATTGTTGCTATATGCTTTTTTTTCTAATATTTTAGAGTGTTTCACGCAATTTTCGGTCATTTGTCAATTCACAATGCATTGATGCCACAATCACGTTTACTTTTGAAAATTGTTTTCAGAAATTTCTCTTTTTTTTTTTTTTTTTTTTTTGAAAAGGGAGGAAGACAATCTAGGAAGATTGATTTAAATTGATGATTCAACAAGTAGGAAGCGTAATGTCGATTTTATATCGATTTATCCAGTAGATAAGGATTTGATATGTTACTGTGTAAGGTTGTTTAGATGGGAACCATTTGGTAGCCAATGTGCTACATTTTTTTAGGAACTGAGATACTATTTTTTAAATGTACATCAATTATGGAAGCAAGAACAAGTGATCAAAGAGTTTTTTGTTTTTGTTGCTTTAAAAAAATAATGAAAATGTTAATATAAAACCTAATTACCCTAAAATGTGCCTTGCTCATTTGTGTATTTTGTTAAATATGTGCTCATGACATGCATCATGATTTTTCCATTATGTCATCTCATTTTTTGCCATTTTTCGAAGCGAAGAATTTTCTCTTTTTTGATAATTTTTTTTTTGTGTACATTTTTGTGTCTTTACTCGAGGCAAAATTGAAATGAACACAAGCTTCAATTTAAATTCATTTTTATTCTCTTATCTTTTTTTTTTGTTTCAATACAACTAGCAATGGGAACAGCGAGGCAGTAAGCAGCAGTTGTGAGTGGAAACATTTTATTAAAGAAAAGCCTTCAGCGAGTCAAATGATGGAAATGAAATACTTTTAATAATTTTCTTTTTTTTTGACGAAAAGATTTTTGATACAAATTTATTTCATTCTGTCGCTTGGGGCAGTCTGAAAATATTTTGGTTAAACATAAAAATAAGAAGGGCAATTGGAGGAGAAATGAGGATGGAACTTTGACAAGGAATTTATTTAATTTTGAACTAGCACGACTTTAATTTTTTTCTGACGATTTTTTCTCAGAATTGAGATATATTTAAGCAATTAAAGCTCAGTTCAAGAACGATTGTTTTAAAGGATATCTTTCAGTTTAATTGAGTCCATTCTGAGAATTAATCTCATCAACAATAAACAGCAAACTTCTGTACAAAACTTACATGTAATTATTATTATAAACTTTGTCCTAATTTTCTATTTTCTAAAGAAAAAGCTGTGCTTCACGGACTGCCCAAAAAATATCCCAGCTGCAAAAAAAAATATTTTTCAACATTTAAGCTACATTAAAAAATAAAATTTGAAGACTGTTGCTTCAACAAAAAAAAACCGAGGCAGTTAAGGCAAAAAGAGAAAAGAATCAACAAATCATAATTATTTAAAATTACGAGACACATTCACAGTCATAAAAACGTGAGGCCACAGAAAATTGTTAAAAAAAAATCCGCCCTTCCGTGCAGTAAGATATGAATTCATAATTCACTCGCTTCCCTCATTATATTCATCACAATGGAAAATTGTTATTACATGTGAACACAATGCAAAAAGAAAATAAAAATGAGAATGTGAATCCCTCAACAGGACGCAGATGATGCATGACATTTTTTAAATATTTTTGATCCCTCAAAAGAATCAAGCAAATGTTACTTGGCACATTTTCTATTCTCTTTCATGTCTTCATGTTTTTTTTTGTAGTTGGGAGTCGTTTGGACACTAAGTAACGCTAAGACTTTTAAACTAGACTTTTGGTTAAAGTGGCTTCACACCAGAATTAAAGTTAAGATACCTTTACAATAGAGTTGAAGTTAAGGTTCATTCACAATAGACTCGAAGTTAAGGTGCCTTCACAATGAAGTTAAAGTTAAAGTGAAATCACACTTAGCTCGAAGTTAAGGTGCATTCACAATAAAGTTGAAGTTTATGTGCCTTCACATGAAGTTAAAGTGCATTCACACTAAGCTTAAAGTTTAGTTGCCTTCACAATAAAGTTGAAGTAAGTTAAGGTGTCTTCACACCAGAGTTAAAGATAAGGTGCATTACCAATAGAGTTGAAATTTAGGTTTCTTCACACTACTTGAAGCTAGAGTGCCTTGAAACCAGACTTGAATTTAAGAGGTCTTAACTTTAGACTTGAATTTAGCTCCCATTTGCATTACATGACTTTCAAACAACCCCCATGCTTGTCTTCATTTCTTTTATGTGAACTTATTTCAATTTTCATTCTTTTTTTTTGCTTCAGTTTCCTGATAAGTGAACTAATTGAATCACGTGCGCCTTTAGAAGCAACAACGCGACAAGGAAAATTTTCAAACGAGAAATGTTCAAGCGTATACGATTGAGGGATGAATTTTACTGATGATTTCAATCAATTTGTGTACTTAAAGTTGTTATCTTTATGAAAATTTTCCTTTATAGAATTTTTGCGCCTCAAAAAATTAAGCCAAGCATTTTTCTTATCAAAAATTTTGTTTATAATTCTTCAAATTATTTCTTTACAACGTGCGTCGTTTTAACTTTGTTTTTAAGGTCATTAAGTTTGATTTATAATACCAAGATGTTTACTGAAAGGATTAGAAAATTTTCATTTATGAACTAGAAAATATGAAGTGTACGAAAATTGGAAATAGATAAAACACGTCTTAATTGACATTCATTACGGTTCATGATATTTATTGTTTGACATTGATCATAAACGTTCCGAAACATCAAAAACTATATTTCGTAAAACAAATTATAAAACTTTATATAAATATTGGAAAATTCGGTTGTTTGTTGATAAGTTTTTATGAAGGAGCTAAATCAGTGTTCCTCAAACTATAGTCCACGACACACCGTGTCAATACAGGGGCGTAGCCAGAAAATTTTTAAGGGGGGCCCATTTTCGAAAATTAAAAAAACCGTTATTTTGTATCCTTAAATCTATATTCATTCTTCATAAGTTTAAATATTTAATTCATTATTCATACATTAAGTTTAATTTTTCGTGTTGATTTTGAAATTTCTTTCATCACTTCCTCTACATTAACTGGTTCTTTTCTATAAATACTTAATAAAACAATTATCAGATATTCGTAGGGGGGGCCCGGGCCCCCTATGCCCCCCCCCCCCTGGCTACGCCCCTGAGTCAATAAGAACATATGATATGATTTGAAAAGCATTTGGCCAGAATTGACTTAATTCCTTTAACCAACAAATCAAATCATTTAAAAATATTAAGAGATTCAACTTAGAAACCAAAAAGAATTGCATAAGTCAAAGATCCCAAAAAAATTAAAATTTGGTCAGAAATATTGTTTTTATCTTGTTTAAGTGTAAAAGCAAATAATATTTTATTTTAAATCTCTTAAAATTACAAATAACAATGGATCACAGATCATTTAAAATCCACCAATTCCACTAGTAATTGCATACAATCCAGCGAAAGCTTCTGCAATAATTGCTGGCATTTCTGCTTCTGGAACTTCAAATCCACTAGTTCCACCGCTTGGCAACATAAATGTGTAAACATATTCGACATTTAAGAATCCTTTAGCATAATCTGTTGATGTTCCGAATGAATTGCCTCTCAAAGCAGCTCCAACACCAACATTATAGACTCTCGATGGATTTACTGTGCGAATGGCAGTAGCTGCTGAATTTGCGATTGCCAAAGCAGCTGCATGATTGCCACTTGCGATGTTAAAGTAATTATATGGAAGTAAAATTTGTTGTCCAAATGATTGCAAGCTAATGTATACACTGACTCTGTTGGCGTACTTTACTGATGTTACAAAACTAACCAATTGTTGACTTTCAACTTCAGAGAAGTAGCTGCTTCCTGGATAATTCTCAGCACATGGCTGTAAGTACAAAGTTCAATATTTTTTATAATCATCAAAAATAAGCCAAAATACTTACGTCATCACGATAAACAAATTGATAACGGAAGTTTGCATTAATATCAGCACCAAAGCAACCAGATCCAACGCTTCGTCTATTTTTGTTCCACAAACGTTCAACATTGTGGGAGTAGACATAGCCGTCTGTAGATAAAAATATGTGGCATTTAATATTGTATTTTAAGAACTTCTGGGGATTTAATGCTTACCTGGATTTGCAACAGGAATCACAACAATTTCAAAATAATCGAGGAGGGCATCAAATTCATAATAATGCTCAACGACTTCATGAAGGAAATATAGAGATGCCATGACTCCAATCCATTCTCTGAATTAAATTAAAATATATTGAATGGGTTGCGTGAATGACTTAACACCCCCCCCCTCCCCCCCCCAAGATCTTCTTGAACCCAAGAAAAAGTCTGAATTAATATTTACCTTGGTCGAATACCAGCCTCGATGAATATGACTGGAAGTCCAGCTCTGGCTGCATGTTCCTTATGTATGCAGAATGCAGTCAAAGGTCTTCCTTCAGCTGTTGTTCCATAAACATCAATATGACCAATTTGGGGGAATTCTGCATCAAGTTCGTTGAGGTAGGTTTGAATCTAGATTTATGTGTATAGTTTTAATTTCGGATCTTTAATCTAATCAATTAAAGAGTCATTCGTAAAAAACGTTCATCATGAAATGTTAATTTTGGTAACTTTTACCGTAATATTCATCCAAAAATAAATTTTGGAATGTTTAACATTTCTCTTCTTAATGTTAGACATCATTTATGAACGACCCCTCCAATTTAAAGTAAAGCAACAACCACGTCACTATACTAGATTTATCGAAATCGTATGACACACATCACATACCTCATCATATGTCCAATAATGATCAAAACTCAATGTGCTAGCAGATGCCAAGCCACAGAATGCAATTCCAATAACTGCCAAAGCAACTAAATTATTAATTATTTTCACCATTTTAACAGTTGGTTTTGAACTAGAGACTTTGAATTATTATCAAGACTGAATAGAAATTGAACAGCAGCACACACTTTTTATATCAAAATTATCGTTCGTTTGCTTTATATCAATTCGGCATTTACGAGTTCGAAACCACAAAAATAGAAAATGAAAACACTAAACGTCATATCAATGAAGTGGTAATAAAAAGTTATCGAAGTCAAGCACCTGAAGAAGATGTCACGTATTTGATAAGAATTTTAATTCAGAAACACAGACTTAATCTTGATAAGAAAGTTGAACATTGTTGCTATGAAAATGAGAGTTGCTATGCACATTGTTGTGGAGATATTTCTGATGGCTGTGAGAATATGTTTGGTGAAGTCCCGAATAGCACAAGTCGGTTAATCGATCAGAAATCAGGCATCAAGCTAGTGTGACTCTGGCATGGTGCTGGCTTCGATTTAAATCCGAGTATTATTGAAAAATTGTGTACAGGTGGGTCGAACGAACCTTCGATGACTTGTATCATTTGCTGCCTGTTTCGGGTTCCTCTTCCCTCTGACAAGCTAACTGCTTCCCACAACTTCCTAAAAACTCTATAAACACTGAATTACTTCCTCAACGCCCTATCCACATCACCTTAAAATTTTTCCATAAAAAAACAATCTCCTACATCCTCAAACATGTTCAGTCTTTAATGTTTAGGTATAAAAGGATAAAACATCCACGACATTGTCATAAAAATCAATAACCATTGATATTCAATAGACACGGAATCATCATACGTATTATGAGTTTAAGTTTATATATTCAACGAGTGAAAGTGAGGAAAATAGAAAGAATGTGAAAGAAAGATTCAATCGACAAAGTGCCATAAATCCATGGATTTTCCTTTAATCTCCGAAAATGTGAAAAAAGGAAGAAGTGAAATTGGAAGGAAAGAGAGTAGACGAAAGATGAGATGCTGAAAGGAAAATTGAATAAACAAGGGATTAAATCTGAAGGATGAAGGAAAGACACAGAAGGAAGAAAAGAAATGACAATGCTTTGCGTGCTTGCTTGTTACTTACCCATCATATTCCATTGAGAGATCATAACTTGTTGATGGAAATTGAGTGATAGAAGCGCATTGGGGGAGGGTACAATAGGGCGGGGGTGGTCAATTTTATAGAAAAACTTCATTTATCTCTGTTTATATGGACATACAGACAATCTTAAATTTACCCTTTTATCGGATAAAATCTTCACTTTTAACAAGAAGAAATTGAAGGTAAAAATTTTCTATTTCTTTTAGTGCTCTTTCAGCACATCCATTTCACTCGCATAATGATTTCTTGATCCCACTTTATGCATTATCATTCTTGGGATTTTTTTTCTTCCATCATATTTTCCCATTCAATTCTTTGTTTGTGTCTCTTATTCAACAAGATGTGTATATACACAGAATATGTTTATGTTTATATTTGCTGTTGCAGTAAATCCTCATGAGACTCAAAAGAACAAAACAACAAATCTCAATGCCATAAAAATGCGATAGAAGGCAGGCAGAAAATGCAGGGAATAAATTTATCTGATGTAAATAAGAAGTATATTCTCTTGGGAACTGACTGAATGGAATGAAAGTCGTCCTGAGTGTGCAAAAATGTTAAGTGAAAATTTTTTTAAAGCATTAATGTGAGTGACTTCTTTTTGACATGGAAATTTATCATTTTTAAGCTTCTTAATTTATCATTGGAACTGTTCGAAGGGCTTTTAGGGGTGCTCATTAATAAATAGGTAGAAGAACCAGCAGTGCGAATGTTGGTGCTGCTTAAATAAAATGTTTTAAAACTCCAATCATCTTTAGCTTTAGCTGGGGTGTCTTAATGTAATAAAAAGATACACTCCTCGTTGGTCACAAGCTTACAATCTATGTTGATTCAACCTGGATCCTATATTTTGAACCCTGTCACAATCCATCTCATAACTTTTAATATCCTCAACCTTGCTTGCTATCTGCCATAATTTCAGACCATAACAACAAATCAACCATTTATATCACATCCAACTCAACAGTTTCCAAAAACTTTTCCATTTATCACAACGAAAACTACCCCAAAAAAAAGGGATACTAATAAACTACCACGGCAAGTCTGTGTCGACAAGTCTATGAATCAAAAAGTAAGTTAATCAAAAAACGAGTGGAAATAAATTTTCATTAATCTTCCGCCCATTTTTTCGTCTCTCTTTCTGCAATCGCCAAAAGCACTCTTTTTCCTCTTGTTTAATGCAATTTTTCGTCGTTCTCTGTTGTCATTTCGACTAGGTCGCGTATATACAAAAATATGATATCATCACTGTAACATCATCCATGAAATGGCATCAGCAGTTGAAAAACAAATTTATGTTTACATTTTTCACATATTTTTCACTTCCTCTACTATCTGTTCATCTCTGTTTTATGTTTATATGTGTCCAAATGCATTGCAAAGTAGATCAGGTTCTGGAAATTATTGAGTTTTTGGGGCTTAGAGGAGCATTTGATTTTTTGCTCAGATGCCGGATTGTCGAGTGTACCTTTACTTTAGCTTAAGGCATGACATGGCTTCGGCTTTGCTCTGGTTTTCATAACTGGCTATAAAATACAATAGGGGGGTTCAAATCCTAATTGAGACAGATACGAGGAAGAAGGTCCACTATAGATCCATCCTTAGACGTATCTAAGTTTAAGCCTGAACTTTATTGTAGACAAATCTACTGAAGTCTTTATGACAATCTAATAACAGTAAGCACATTGATACTAAAATCCACTCACAGTCCTGAAAAAAGAGCTAAAATATTTGCTGTGCATTCTCGATGATGTCGAAGGCGGCGAGCGAGAGAGATAAAATAAAAAGCAGAAAATTGTAAAAAATAATGTGTGCACAAAACAGCAAAGCAAAAAAAAAATATCGGGGACATTTGGAATGAATGAATGGACTTGCTATAGTAGAGATGAAGAGAACGTAAAATTGCTAGTTTTGTCGTTAACTATCAAGTCATATAGACTGTGAATATGGTCGCTCTCGAAACTTATGTTGTGTACTCAATGTGAAATAGTTTTTTTATTCTTGATATATATTTTTTTGTGTGAGCATTAAAAAAGAGGTGGAATTGGAATAAATGGACACAAAACAGGATGGAGGAAAAAAATCCATTAAAGCACTTTTTTCTCTCTCTCGATATCGAGTTTTTTACATCCTGTGCTTTTTGGCATAAATATTAATGGCTTGTGGAAAGATTGCATGAAAAATTTAAGAATGTAAAGTTGAAATGCTGAGTTTTGTGCATGCGATTGTAATTTTGTGGACATTCTTTATAACAAAATTTAGGTTCAAAGCAAATGATATGTTCCTAAGAGCTGGTTTCTCTCAGAAATGAGTACCAAGCACTCCAAAAAACCAGCTTCAGATTTAATTTAAGCAAATTTCAGGAATGTGTGTGCATTTAACTTTCCTCAAAAATTTACAAACAATCAGACACAGAACTAAGCACATTCATACACAATTGCGTCAATAGCTGAATTGATTTATTGCCTGACCATCATTGAATACTCAAAATTGATACGACTTTTTTTCCTCGTCCTGAAAAAAAAAATTACAAAATGTTTTTCAATTCTTTTTTGTGCTCTGTTGAAATGTTTTTGTTATTCAGAACGTTTAAGCAACAACAGCATACAAGTGAGATCAATATTTATAGAAGTGACTGCATTTGTATGTCTGTTGATGGCAATTAGCATTTTCAAGGATGCACCTGAATGCATAATTTGTTGAAAATTCAAACAAAAACAATTTCAGTTACGTGTTTGGAAACATTAAGATTATTTGCAATCAAAGTTTATTGAACTGAATGAAAAAGGTGAAAAAATGGGCAAGGGATGGTAACTTTTTATCTTGTCTTGTTTGGAAATTATGGCAGAATTTGTTCTTAGTGTTCATACATCAACCTTATCATCGATTCATTGTGTGACATGAACATAAAAGTTCCCATCCCTTCCAAACGTTCCACATCGCTCTATTTCATTTCAGCAATAGAACACAGAAATCACATACAGCTTTAGTGCTGTCTCATTTAAATCAATTTCATTCACTTTGAATTTTAATCGCATTTTGGAAAATGAAATCATGCAAGAAAATGGATGTGGAAGGAGACGCAACAGCAACAACGTCAACAAAATTTTAATGATCCTTTCTTTTTTTTCTGGAAACTTAGACATTTGACTATCATTACAGCACAGCATACAGTAAATGAAAATGAGAAAGTTTTAAAGTGAATAAAATGAAATGAATAAGAAAACTAATTAAAAATTCATGTCATATTGTAATTTAGATGGGAGCACAATGATAACTAAATTGCCGTATGCTTATGTACCGACTAGTTGAGCATTTTGAATGTCCTTTGGGATGATTTTGGCAGAATTTTTATTTTATTTTGATGTTTAAAGTTAAAGATGAATTAAATTTGGGAGGGGGGGTCGAAGTTATGGTTTTAAATGGAAAGTTAAATTAAGTCAACTTTAGTTTACAAATTCGAGTGACTCATCATGCAAGCCCCTAAACCTTATGCAAGCTGTACGAGTTAAGGTTCATATTAGCAGCTATATATCTTTTTAAAAGTATGTCAAATCTAAGTACATCACAGACGATTTAATTATGCAGCAATAATATTTAAAATGTTCGTGGAATAATAATTGTGCAATTGAGATTGCTTTATTATCGTGGGGTTCATTAGTAAATGACATCCATTAAAATTGAGAATTTTAGACCCCCATCCATAATCTTATATCACAAATTATGGAAATAAAAGTATAGCACAGCTTCAGGCGTGCATCCAACAGAAAAATTGACATAATTTATAATCGACCTCTTAGCCTACTACAGCGGCACTGCCATAGATTTCATTCACATATTCAACTTAATTAAATTATTATTAGAAAATAAATAAAAATTCAACACATTTCTTCTGGTATACAGCTTCCATTCGAATCTCGAATAAATCCTGCCTTACACGCACATCCAACTCTGCAAGCTTGATTACAAACTGTGTATTTCTTCTCACAACTGTCTTCACAGAACGATCCACATGACACAAATTCTTCATTTGATCCACAAGATTTATATCTGCTGTCTAATCTCGAGAGATCATCATTTTTTCGGCAGTCACCATATCGATTGCGAGCAAAACCTTCTATACATTCACATGTTGGTGGACAGTTGATTGGACAAAATTCGTCAGGTTTGCATTTACAGTGTTTAACTTCCTCGTATGGTCCACATTTGTAGGGTCTTGTAAGGGCAGCTGTAATTTAATTATTTGAATTAAGTGAATTTTTGGTAATTTTAAAAACAATACCTGCAATTCCAGCCCAGCAGAATAGTAAAATAAAAGTCTTCATTTTCTTTATTGTTAATGTTCTTTGCTTCAGATGCACAGACGTACTTGAATGAACTATGAAATGCACACAATATTTATACTGAATGAAATTTCACTAAGTTCAATTTGAATACATTAACATAGCCTAAGAATTATAGGAGAAAGTTACGGGAATTACCTGTCATCTAATTGGCATCAAGCGACAGAAATTTCTTGGAATTAAAGATGAACCTTGTATAATAATAATCTTACAAGTGGATATAAATTTTGTGTGCATTTAATTAGTCGCTTAGAGTATTTTATGCAACTATAGTTGCTGTTACAGTCAGTAGCTTATTGAGAAATGTTTCTGGGAGGGATTTTGACTATCTTAGCTTCAAAATATTGCTTGGTGTATTCACAAGACTGACAATGACATGCTTTGAATATGTTCATGTAGTTGGTCTTCTTAATGCAATAGTGGCTAGTCTTTTTGAATCTTCTCAATGTTTTTACAGCCTGGTGAATCTTAAGCTGCTCTAGTGTAAATAACAAGCATGTATCAAGCTTATCTCATCATAAATGAATCATATCACTCCATATCACTAAAAAATAGATCTGCAGCATTCGAAAATGTTAACAGATCACCATTATAACCATAATAAAGTTATAATATTCCCTTACAAAATAAACTAAAGCAAACTTATTTGCCAACGGGAATATAACTTTACAAACAGAATATGATTCAATTTCAAGAGTTTCGAAAAAATTCATTTCAATGCAAAAATTTCATTTAAAAAGCAAACATTTAGTTCTTCATCTTATTTTGGAACATAAAATTTTGGTGGGAAGGAACAGAAAAGGTTTCAGATTGTCTGCTTTATTTTAGGTTAAGTTGGAAACTTCTACAATGATATAAACTATCAAGATACTGTTTTGTCTTAAAAGTAAGCTGTTCACTCTTGTTTGCAAAAATCCTTTTCCTGAAGAACATTATAAAATGCGCTCTGTACCCCAAACCTTTAATATCTCCATAACTCAATTTTCGGTTGCCAGCATAAAATTCAAAGGTGAATGTTAAACATGATGAAACATAAAATGATGATGATATATCATCATATTTTGATATCATTAAACTTTTTCCATTCATTCGTTCAGAAACACAAAAAATAATTTTAAAAAAATTCATTTTTGCTTTTGTTTAACTTTTTCCTCTCTCAAATATTTTCCATACAGAACATTTTTTTTGTGCTTCATTCTTTTCCTTTTGTTTCACTTTTTACACATGAACAGATTTTAGAATTTTTTTCACAGTTCGAAAGGTTTTGTGCTTGAAGTTTTGTATGTTCGGGTTTAGTTTCTTTGTAAGGTGTTGGCTGTTAACTAGCAGTTTGACCTGGCTTGATGAAGAACAGACAAGCCGCTAACATAAAGGACGTTTAGGAATTAATTAAAAAACTTTTTCAAAATTAAGCAACACATCTTAAATTCATAACCTGATGCGTCCTAAACCTCTACAAACAGCACTAAAATAAATTTTAAAACTCATAACATAAAAGTTTCTAATATGTTTCAGCTTATAAAAACCACTTGAAAGTGATCCACTTAATTCATTTTATATCTTCTTTCCCTTTTAACATTCTTTTATGTTCATCAGAAAAGGACTCATTAACTTCTGTTTTTTTTTACAAATAACACTCACTAGCTCGTACATGGATGTATATGCACATGAGAGCATAAATGAGCGAATTTTCATTACCTCATTACAATCCCATTGAGTTAACTAAATTAACACAGTTAAAAATTTACAAAGTTAAAAGTTTTCTCATCTATTTTCATAAAAAAAGAAGGGAGGAATGCTTGGTGGATGGGGAGATATGCTTAAACATCCTTTCATCCCTCAACCCATGACATGTGAATGATGGAAAATATATAATTTAGTGATGTGTATTAAAAACTTTGTAACCATAACATGATAGTCTACCTCTATGGGTGTTGGATAGGGGTTCTGATGGTTTAAGTTGCTGTTTATGGTTCAATGAGATTTGAGATTCTAGATAAATGTGAAAGTTTGTTTGGTAATGGTCAGTTTTAGGGGCTACTTGAGCCACCATCTGTCAGTGCAAAGGCTAGGTATCAGCAACTGAATGGTTAGAAAACAGATTAGAATAGAATAGACTGTTTTTATGAAGACGTGGGTTCGATTCCCATCAGAAACCTTTTTCTCAATCATTTCATCAATGAATGTTGATTCAAGAATTCACAACGAAGCATACGTTAAGCTACAAAATTCGTAAACAATTTCACACAAAAGTATCTCAATAAACCCTAATTTCCCGGTCCATATCCCCAATTCAAACTAAACAGAATGAGAGTAAAACTTCATAATAATAGCCTCGAGCATCATAAACTTTTTTGATGTATTTAGGATATGTACATTAATGTATGTACTAAATGAAAAAACATATTTTGTTATCTTTTGTTTCTCAAACTCAATTTTACATTTTCAAAAAAATATTCTCCATTCAAATTCCTTTTTTTTGCCTCTTTGGTAATACAATAAACTTTAAATACACACATAAAAAAAATTTCTCATTCATTCATTTTCCACTGAGTTTAATTAAAACAAACACGTTTTATTTAATTGAAAAAAATGTGAAATGTACACCCGAAAAAATGAGGAATTATTTTTTATGGCTGTTCTCACAATTTTTTTTTTCATTGTTTTAGTTTTTTTTTGTATGAAAATGTATATGATGAAAGTTAATCATGATGAAATAAAGTGAGAGTAAAAAGTCAGAGTAATTAGGATATTGAAGCCTCAAAGCGACTGTATTTCTGAAGTTTTGTGAGGATCACATCAGAACTACATCAGGGCTACATCAGAACCACACCAGGACAACATCAGAACAACATCAAAACCACATCAGGATTACATCAAGACCATATAAAGACTAAATCAGTAACACCTTAAGACCACATATGGACCACATCAGAACCACATCAGAACCACATCAGAACCACATCAGAACCACATCAGGACAACATCAGAACAACATCAAAACCACATCAGAACCACATCAGGACCACATAAGGATTACATCAAGACCATGTAAAGACTAAATCAGTAACACATTAGAACCACATTAGAACCACATCAGGACCACATCAGGACCACATCAGAACCACATCAGGACTATTTTAGAACCACATCAGGGCCACATTAGAACCACATCAGGACCACATCAGGATTACATCAGGACTATTCGAGTCCGGTCAAGTCAAAGCAATCCCCCTAGATTCCCAAAAATCTCCTTTCACAACTCTCAAGCTAACAAAAACTTTCGATAATAAAATCTTTTTGTGTAAAGAGACCATCAAGATTGTACATTAACGATAAAATGACTGTAACAGTTTTTAATTAGAATGTTACAATGGAAGGTGGATGTAAAATAAGGCATATGGATAAAGCAGAATAAGAGAGAATTAAAAGAAGTTTACTTTAAATTATCTGCTACACACACACACACACAGTTCTGCATACATTTTTATTATGAAATGTACAAAAGAACTCAAAAATGTATCTTCATCTCAATTCTCGTAGCTGTTCGTCTCAGGTGCACAATTTTTTTCGTATTATTTCATTTTTCACCTCCCTTATTATTCTATATGCACAGTGAGAATGTACAAAAACATGGTAAAGCTTTTATCATACTAAAAGGATTTAATTGCGGTTTGTTTTTATGATTTAGCTAAGTGTTTTCAAGCATAAAATTGTAATTAAAATTGTTGGATTCAATGTTGTACGGGAGCTTTAAAAAAATTAATTTTTATCCAGATGAGACATCGAGACAATTTTCTTTTGGATGGAACGTGTTGTGTCTAGGATGGAATTGATTTGAGCGCATTTTTGGCACAATAATGGTTGGTTCTAAGATGTTCAGTGAATGAGAATCAAACTTACGTCCTTACAAAAGAGAGGAATCCTGTCTGTAGCTTTACCACTCGACCACAGAGGTCTAGCCATCATATTGGTAGCTCGATAAATCCACTTTACATCAACTCTGCTTTAACTGCACTAATCACAAACAAGTCAAAAACCCATATAAATCCATCAAATAATCATAATCCAGTCTTACAAAATGTCAACAAAATTATCTTAGAAATTTCGGCTCGTGTTGATGATGGCAATTATCAAAATTTCTACAGAACATAAACAACAAAATGAACATCAACAACTTAAGCATATTAAGTAATTAATTAAATCAATATTTTGAGTGAGCAATTAGTCGATTAGCAAAATTGTACATCGGCCTCACAACAGCACCCATTCCACTTGTTAAATCAGCATTCGCCTAATTCAATATCAATATTCATTCATTCATGCTCACTTTATGCTATCATTGATATTATTGGCATAATTAGATGTGCAAATAGTGGTAATTTATTGCATCTTCATATTTGCATGTCCATGTATCCCCACAACATACAGAGTTGGCGATCTTGGTGGGGATTCTCGAAATAATAGAAGGATAAGTTCAAAAATGATGTCTTTCAGAACATGGAACTTTAAGAGCCTTTCTCTAAGCTGACACAATATTTTATGCAGATTTTCTCTTAAGTGAGGCTTAAGAGCCCTTAAGCGCCCATAAGACTAGCATAACTATCAAATCATTTTCCGATTCCCAACCCTGCAAGCATTTAAACTCGAAATATTTCACATTCATGCACAGTGAGAGTCAAACAGTGGAGATAATGAAATTGATTTGTGTACATAGTCACAAGAGCATATTTCAAGTGCACAATTATTTTCTGCAATTGTGTATGTCTGCATATGCTCTGTCAAATAAAGCAATTAGATGAATATTTTGGTAAATAAAATTTAAATTTAATTGAATTCATTTTGACATTATGATGATGCTTAAGCTATTTACTTTTGCTATTTTATCTTTAATCGGAGATAACGTTTCATGCTCAATTTTGAGGTAGATGTGTAAATTCTCTTTTGTCTCATATGATTAAATTTAATATTGTGGGAAATTTGAGACTTATAATTAAATTAAGAGATGATTTCTTGATAGACTCACATTGAGTCTCACGTTAGAAAGGAATTCAAAGATGTATATAGTAAAGCAGAGTGGGTATCAGAGTGGGTATATGTTATCTTGTTGAAAGCTTTCGCTATAATTTCAATTTTTATTCGAATGTAGTCACATTTAGAGAAGCCGTTCAGTTATGTCCATCCATTAGAAATATTACAAAATAAGTGAACAACCTAGTCTAATTCATAATTTAGTTTAAAATTTCATAAATTGCAGGAATCATCCAGTCTTACTAGAGTGTCCCATGTCCATTTAATACTCTCCAATGTAGAGTATCCAAATGATCCCATTCTTCGAATGAGCTATTATACAAAAATCCAGCTCGATAATGACGTTTTCCTTTCTTTCCAACAACATTAACTTTGCCGTGGTTCCACACTTCCTTCTTATCTTTGTCAACGCAAAAAAACAATGTTTGGATAATCTCCGATCGCATAGGAACTTCCACAGCAAATGTTGCCAAAACAAGCTTTAACAGCCTAAATCCAAAATATCCAGGTCCAACGATTTTATACTTCTTTCCATTCCAGTCGACTCCCTCTCTCCAAGCTTCAATCATCTCATCGTAACTTGTTGTTTTAATGATTTTCATCACTGCTTGTTTTGCATATGTTGGTTCTCTTTGAAATTGGCTAAGATATCGTTCGTAGTTTAAATCTGATGTTTCAGTATTTCCGGATCGAATAGCTTCCATTTGGTTCTTTCTGGCTAAATCGAACTCATATTGCTTCTTAAAGAAGTTTCTAACATAAATTTTAACGTCGTCCATAGCTTCTTCATAGTTCTTCAAATCAATGATTGTCATTTTCTTATTTTCTTTATCGCAACGTTCTTGTTTGGTCGTGTATGCTAAGGCTTGAAAGACATTCAAGAACATGAAATTTTTGAAGCTGTAATTGATGTCGAGTGCATTAAGGAACCAATTTGAATCCAAAGGTGGAATATTTCTGACACTTTCTAAAGGTCCATTAATAGCAGCATCTAGGTACAATGGAATCAATGCCACCATATTTAAATGCTTAAGTTGAGCTGTTAATTCCTTGATGTATGTGAAATTTGGTTGATAATTGTCATAAAATATTAAATCAATAGGAACTGGCTGGTCAACATTAATTTTATTCTGATCAATATTGATTCCTAGCAACTTAACCATCATGTCTTTGATGATTTCTTCAAAGTCATTTTTTCCTTTGTAGTTACGTCGAATAGCTAGCCAGACTTCATAGTTATAAATTGATCGGAGCATAGCTGGAAGAGCGTTCATAGTTTTAGATTTATTCTGTTGAATTGCTCGAATAAATGGAACAACCATCTCGGCAATTCCACTATTATCCAGGAAATGTCCAAACTTTCCACATTTTTGAGGAACCAAATATTCATCAGCATCAAACTTTCCTGCAAAGTCCTTCAAAGTCATGACCATGTTCTTGAAAATTTCAAGGTTTTTTGTAGATTTATCATCATTGATTAAATCAATCATGGATCGAACTCCTGCAATCATTGTGTAATCTACAGTCTTTGGAACTTCTGCAATCATTTGTCTCATTCCAATTGAGAATGTAAACTCAAGCAGCGATCGTGCATGTTTTTTCAAAAATTTACCAATTCGTGGATCATCAAAAATTGGAATTGAGTTTGTGATTTCAGCATCATAAGCTGGTACTTGAAGCTTGTTGTATTGAGATTGGTTCAAGACACAAAGAACATCAGCAAAGCTAACAAAACAGCTTGGATAGATTTTTTCAATTCTCCATGTTGATGGGTCAGGATAATTACCAATTGGTCCATTACATGCTACACCAACAATATTCAAAATTTCCAAGATATCAAGAACAGTTGCATTTTCGAAGGCTTCATCTTTGGTGAATTCTATAAGAGTTTTGATTCCTTCAATTGTTGTTGCCTGGGAATAAAATGAAACTTCATATCCTGAGTCGCTAATGTCAGCAATTTCATGAAAATATTCAGCAATTTTTAAAGCTTCAAGCTTTGCGATTTCATCAAAATCGAGATCACCTGTGCATTTTGCAGATCTTCTGGCTAAACTCTTACTGTTCTTTGTGACCATTGTCTGTCTCAAATATGCAGCCTTTTGAGCTGCATTCAACTTATGGACCTTGTTGTCATTTGCAATCTCAGCTAACACAGTTGAAATTTTCTTATGCTGTGATCGGATCTTAATAAGTTCAATTCGATTCTTGAGTTTCTTCCTATCACTTGCTGTATAATTATCAGGAACTGGAACTTCACTTTCAATTCTCTTGAAATATTCAAGTATTTTATCGATTGTCTTTGCTGCTTGTGCTGACTCGATAATCTTCAAAATTTTCATTCGATCAATAATGTAGTCAACCTTCCTATTAAGTAAATTTTGCAGCTCTTGGTATGAAATCGATTCCAAAAATTCAATCTCAACTGGAAGGTCATCAATTTTCATATTTTCTGGAATTTCTTTCATCCAAAATGTGTTTTTACCAGGAACCAATAATATTTTATCCAAAGCATTTGATTCCCATGGGAATTTGAGAAATATTGGAGAAGTACTGGATACGACTGACGCATTAAACATTCCATCATTTTCAAATAACTCAGCCCATGCTGATGAAGCTTCTTCCACTGATACATTTGACTTCATGTCCAACATTACAGACGCTTGGATGTTATTCAACTGCAGCAAACAGCACAAAGCAGTTGTGTCTGGATCATAAGAACTTGTAAACCATCTGACTGCCTTTGAACTGATTGCGATCTCATGATCATGTAAAAATTCAGCAACCTGCTCTGATTCTTTCATTGTTTGCTTCCCATCAGCAACTTCACCATCGGAAATAGTCAAAATTCTTAAAAATTTAACTCCATCTTGAGTAAGAGTCTTGATAATCTCATAAAACTTATTGATTCCAAAACTCATGTAGGTTCCACCACCTGCATAGAATTGTTCTAGATTCTTTAAATCAGTAATTTCCAAATTCTTGTAATCGACTCGGCTTTCAAAAGTAATTAAGTGAATCTTTTCATTGAGTTCATAGTTAAGCTTCTGGAAGGTAAGTGGTAAAATTTTGGTTCCAATTGTGTTCAAAGATTCTCCCATTGAACCGGATCTGTCAAGAATCACGACTGTCTCGATATTCTGAGTAGATTGTGCTTTGCTAGTTGGCTGATAATCAATTGTTGCGATGTAATCCCCAGCCAAAGGATACAAGCTTAATTTGTGAGTATTTTGTTGTCTATTTGTCATGATTGATTGTTGTTCTGTAAGATATTGAGAAAGTTTTAAATGTATTGACTGGATTAAATGTATTAATATTATTATCTAATGTTAATGACCTCAATTAATCCACAACCTACCTCAATACAAATGAGAATATTTCAAATTTTAATATTTTGTGCTCTTCTTTAATTTTAAATTACTCTACAATCTGCTCACTTCTTTATTCAAACGTTGAATGAATGCTTAATTCTTTTACACATTCAATTTTATACCGAACATTTTGTGATTTCACAAAAAATAATAATTTTTACAGCATGATGAAAGCTAGTGAAATCATTTCATAATATTACAAAAATTTTAAAATCTTCAAAAGTCTTAATATTGATTGTAGTCAATATTTTTAAATTAAAACTGATAAAAAAGTTTAGGAATTTTAATTTTACCGGCGAATTTGTTTTGATTGAAAAATAAAGCCTAAGTTAATATTAGCTATGACGCATTGCTAAATGTGATAAATGTGTACAAGAAAAAAATACTGCATACATATGCGGAGCTCTTATTGTTTTCTTCTCTGTACACAAGTATTAATTTTGTTAATGTATAAATAATTATAGATTTAAACTGTTTTTGTCGTATTTTGGCATGGGGCCGTTCACTTATTACGTCAAGAAGGGGGGGGGAGGGGTTCAGCGAGAAAAGAACAATAGAACTTCCTGGAAATTTATTGTTCTTTTTTGAAAAACGATTGTTAATTTTGGACGTCATAAGTGAACGACCCCCATGGCAACTTCTATGACAGCATTTGATGAAAATATTTATCAATTTGAAATTTTTTTTAAAATTTTGAATATTTTGTTCACATATCAAAAACCACAATGAAAGCATATCCAATTTTACATTGATATCAAGCCAAACAAAACAGAAGAAACCAAACTTTTCATTGTCAAATAATGCGGGAAAATGTAAAAGCCAGTGGAAAAGAAAACAATAAAGAGACACAAAGAAGCCCGTATGCTTTTATATATCCCAATTCACTCTATTCTGTTGAATGTTTGATCGATGATGGAAAACGACATGAAAAGAATTTTTTTTATGTTTTTACGGCGGGTATAAAAATTGTGAATGGAAATTTCATTTTAATCTGATTGAAATTTCATTTCACAAAGAAGTTTAAAAATTAAAAAAAATGACATTAAATTGATCAAATGTCTAGAAAAACTTCAATTTTAAGGCTTATTGTAAAAAATTGCGCTGTCAATCAGACTAATGCCATCAAATCAAATATTTATGATCCTTCAGGAAACTATTCTTTTATGTCCAAATAGAAACAAAGTCAAAATAAGCTTAACAAATTTATTTTCCATGTCTCATCCACTCCCAATAGCCACCCCATATACCTCTCAATTACCATCCATATGTAAAATAAATACACAAAAATCCACCTACATCTGAACATGTAATCCAAAAATGTTGTTGCTGTGTATCCATTGTGTATTGCTTGCTGAAAGAGAAAGAGAGAAAAATCATTGATACGAAAATTTTCATTTTCATGATATCGCTTTTTACCTGCCATTTTAATATTATATGGATATATCAGCATATATTGTTTTGTATTTGCTGACTGTTGTTGTCTTTTAGCTGAAATTTTAAAAAACAATGGAAAATACAGGTTGTATATTTTAGAGCTCAATCTATACAACTCAAAATAAAAGTAATGCTGTGAATTTTAAATTATTTTTTTGGTTGGCGACAAACTGCTTTTTGGACATTGAACGATGAAATCAAGTACCCTGCTTCAAGGACATTAAAAGTTGAAATTAAGTTCTCTGCTTTTAGGACATTGAACGTTGAAATTAAGTGCCCTGCTTTTTGGACATTGAACGCTGAAATAAAGTTTAATGCTTCTGGGCCTTGAACCAGGAATTAAATATTTGTTTGTTGAAGTATGTCTCAGGTTTAATGTCTTAGATAAATTATTCTCAAAGAATTTTTCCACGGCACTACAGTCTGAGTTTTTCAAGCATGCACATTATGAAACTCATTCTCAATCCTTTCCCATACTTTCAGCTCATCAACACATCCATAAAATTTTCTTACTTATCACTCGCATTTGTTGTTTGTGAATATTCACTCATTTGCTACAAATTTGAAGAAAATTTTCAATTGTCTTTATTGTACTTTTTGTTGTTGTACTTTATATGAAAGAGATCAGAGAATGGATAAATATGAAGTATCATTGTTGAAAGCTTTTTGAATTTCGAACAGAGCGGAAAAAATGTAAATTATGAAATGAATTCTGATGAATGATAATTCAGGGGATGAAATATTGTGCGTAACTGCTCGTGTTGCTTTTAATTTGATATAAAAATTTCAATTGATGTTATGGAGTGGATGATGTGTTGGTGGATTATGATGAATTGAAAGTGGGAAGTTATTAAAAATTCACGATTTTGTCCGTTGGCGTTGGAGCAAGTTTTCTATCTGTAGTGGTGCCCAGGAATGATGCATCATTTTAAATCAAGCAATTTTGGTTATGCTTACTTCAGATACAAAAAGTTCCCGTCCCTTGCATAGGAAATTCTTGAAAAAAGTCTTCAATACTCGTCTACAGAATTCTCTTTCCACAAAAATATTTAAAGCTTCACCCGACAAAGATAATTGCAATATACTCAAGTATCAAGCTAGATGCATAGAGACAGAATATTGCTCCACAGAAAACAATAAAAGAAGAACATTTTACAGTTTTGTAAGTAACATTTTCGATGCTTATATTAATAAATATATGTACATACATGGATGCGACTAAATACATTTACAATACACAAGATGGAATACTTCATTTTCACATTCATTCATATCAATGTAAATATCTATCATTGTTAATCTCAAAACATGCTAATTCCATTACCACAATGATTCCATTGTGTTACATTTCATGGCTTCGAGAAATAGACAATAGAAATGGAAGTGAGTGAGTGAGACAGGATGAGAAAGTGGATAAAGAGATGAGGTAAATGTATTGAAATTTCTTGCTCAAAACAGCATCAAGTTTTAAGTTTTTAAAGAAGACATTTAAGTTAAAAATTTGATAAATTTTTAAGGGGCTGTTAAGCGCATTTTTTGGATCGGTGCAGCCAGAATTATTTAATTCTGGCCACAGTATGAAAGGAATCAGAGTTTTTTGACAATTTATTGAACCACACATTGAAGTTCATTGAAATGGCATTCACGTTGCAACCAATTTGCATCCAGTTGGAAGTTGCTTCCAAGCGACTGCCGCTTAATTCTGATTATACTATCAACCCAGCTACCGGGTGGCAAACATTTTAATGTGTGCCGATCGGGTTTGTTGCAGCATAAAAAGAACTAAACAATCTTACAATAAATGATGGACGACATTCAAATCAGCCTGATCTTCATACTTTTATTTATGAAAAGAATAACTGAAGAATGTCCAAAAGTATTTATAATTTATCTCAAAACATCTTGCACCATAAAATTATTAAAATATTTAAAAATTCAAGCATAAGAAAAATGTCAAACTTTGAAGCCACAACAGCTATTGTTTTACATAAGTCAGTCAACAAATCAAAACCTCAGAAAATATTCCAAATTTTTGTCGCTTAAACAAAAAAACATTTCTTAAACTTATTTACAATCTTCTTTCCTCCCATTTCCTACTTCCTACAAAACATTTCATTCATTTCAATCATTCTTCACACAATCCCGGTAATGGAATGAATATTACCAAGAATAAAAAAAGAGGAATGTCTAAGTGAATGCCACGAGGTGAAGACTCACAAAAAAAAGTTTTTTTTTGGAACAAGAAACAAGAAAAAAAATTTCTTAACTTTCTTCAGTTGAATTGAAAACTTTTTCTTTCCTTTCTATCTTCATTCTTCTATCAAGTTGTAAAAAAGATTTCTTCATGTGGAAATTGAACATTTGGTTTTCCGCTTTTCCTTTGATGTAGGAAGTAAAGGAGTTGGAGGTATGGGATACAAAAAAAAGTTTACGAGTTCATCTCTCGTTTTTGCTTGGGTGTAAAAATTATTTTATGAAGTTTTTTTTTCTTCAAGAGTTTCTCTTTTTGTTGGTTTGAAGTTCAAATAGATTTTTTTTGGGGGGGAAAGTTTGTTATGATTTTCTACAGATTAACATATTATTTTGTGGATTTAAATATGTTTTTGGATGAAAATGTAAATTTTTGAATTATGAAGATTTATAGCTCAAAATTAGAACAGTTTAAAACAGCTCGAATCACGAAGCAATTGTTGATTTTCAGGATAATCCAACATCAAATGTTGAGGATAAGAATGAGCTGCTCTGAGCTTTGACAACACAAAGTCATTTGTGAACAACTTTCAAAATCTAAAATACACAAAAACCTTCAAAACCATCGTCAACTCTTAACAACTCTTTAAATTGTCTACAAAAAGCAATTCCAACACGAATTTTCTTCTATTTTATTTTTCCGATTTTCATCCGCTCAAATGAAGGCAATAATGAATATAAAAAAATATGACGAGTTTGGCATAACCTTGAAATTCATCCATTTTAGAATATCAAGAAATCATTTGCTGAATTTTATGAACCAAGAACAGAAAATGACTTCCTTTTTAATATTTGCTAACATTTCTTGTTGATTGCTTAACCTAGTTTAGTTGAATCTAAAGGGACGCTACAATAGATCTAAGATCGCAGTGCCTTTTGGAGTCGTTCACTTATGACATCCGAAATTAAAAGCCTTTTTACAAAAAAGCACAATGAATTTCCAGGAATTTCTATTGTTCTTTTCGTTCTGACCCCCCCTCCCCCCCCCCCCCCTTGTGCGTCATAGATGAACGACCCCTTTCGTGTATTACAAATCCTATCTTTCAAACCTAGCTTTTGATAAGTTTCTTCATGTTTAATCCAAGGAGCTACCCTGATCTTAATGACATGCAAATTTTGAAACTTCCAAAAAGTAGCTATAACTTTAAAAATCAATCTAAAATACACAGAACATAGAAAAATGAAATATCTAAGTAGATTTATTCTGCAAAGCTTTAAAGTATCTCATAAAAACATTTTTTACATTCAATTTAACCTCACAAAAGACATCATAACGATTTTCATATTTTTCTTTGTCTTTATTAAAACTGTAAACCTTGAAAATTATGATAATGAACCGTTACGGTTTTTATTTCTGTTACTGTATGAAAAATTGTGAGGAACAAGAAGACATGAAAAAAAATGAGAATGTATAAAAAAACATTAAATATTATTACGCATTTTTCATTCGGTTAAAAAAGATATTAAGTGGTGCTAGGCGGAGGCAGGCAGAATGAAAACTTTTGCTGTGCGTACATTAATAAAATAAAAATATATAAATGAAAATATATATAATAAAAATGCGTATACCTGAAAATAAAATAATTTTCTGTTGTTTTTTGGCCGCGTGGACTGAAATTCTTCTTGTGCATCATTTTTTGAGTGATGAAGCTGTTGTGACTTACATTTTGTCTACGATGATTGAAAAAATGTCGAAAATAGCTTTTAATCAATAAGATTTTATGCTATGTTTGGAAACCACCCTACTCGGCTAGGTTCCTTGATTTCAGAATGATTAGATTTTCAAACCAAAGTCCATCTCCTCATGACATCAACCCATCTCAGCTACTTATAAAATATGCACCTAATCCCCCAAATCACCTTATTCATTCCTTACCTCTTACCTTCTCATCATCTGAGGTCCATAAATATTATTATTTTTAATATAATGATGCCATTTTTTGCTGCTTTCCGCTACCCCTCCAAATAAGTTTATATAAACGTACATCCGCACATTAAAAAGGCAAAAGAAAACACAGGAAAAGTGATTTTAATTCAATTTTTTGTGTGTTATTTTTTACTTTTAGCTTTTTGCGTTGTTTTATTTTTAATGAAATTCGTTGATTTTGTTTGGATTCTTGGCGGATGGGACGTTTACTTATGAGAACTGTTTATTTGTTCAAGATTGATGATTTTTGATAGCTTAATTGTGTGTGGATGATAAAGCTTTAATAAACCAGATTTATTTAGGTCTGAGCACTACATTTGGTTTATTTTGATGATTAGGTCAAACTTAATTATAAGAAAAGATCCTTTTCTACCTCCTGCCTAGAGTTCTAAACCAACTAAATCCACAAAATGTTTTAAACTTCACCATCAACAGCACAGCTCACTACCATCACTTGCCATACCATAATCGGTCCATTTGACATTTTATTAATCCACAGAAGAAACAAAAACTTTTCTTTTTATTTTATCTTTATTTTCATTAGGGACCTTCAATGATGTATAAATTTTCAATATCCCATCTCACAAGAAGGCAAAAGGAATAGAAGTCAAATGACATAATCATAAAATCGATTCTAATTCAGCAAAATTTTCCTTTATTTCCTCCCTTGTGTAAATGTCAAAATCTATAAATTTCATTTCAGTATACAGAAATTGTGCCATTCACATATATTCACATGACCCAAAAAAAATGGTGATCGAGGATTCCTTTCCTTCTGTTGCCGTTGTTATTTTCATACAATTCCAATTTTTTAAGGTACATAAAAGTCGAATAAAAAGAAATGAAAATTATTGGCCAACTGTTGAATGGTTGACCAGCCTAACTTCAAGTTGATTGCTTTCTTACGAACATATTGTGTGCATGTGAACATTGTGGATGTGTCTACATATGTATTCTCATGGTTCGTCCCTTTTCTGCCCATTGATACAGAAAATAAAATTGATTTAAAAGAAAATAAAGGAAAAAGAGAAAGTAAATGAAAATGGGGAAGTGGAAGAAGAAGCTTATAAGTATAATGGAAGTGATCATGTTGGCCAATTTACTGTTGGATATTCTCTTAATATTCGTTGCTGTGGGTGGTCTTTTGATGTTAATTGAAGTTTATCTGAGGAAATTAAAGCTCATTTTTGTTCTCTCTAAAGCACAAAAAGCATAAAAATTATTTTTTTGGAACAAAAATTTATTTTTAAAAAATTTATAAAATGAAAATTAACAAAGGTGAAATCCACAAGTGACGTCTAATTCAACTGAGTGTATAAAATTGCCCTTGATATAAATGCAAGCTGTTAAAAGCATCCAGGAATGTTTGTTTTCAAATCACATGTCATCATAGCTTGATTCCATCCAGTTCCAGATGGACATGAGAATATGTAAACATTTCCGAATACACATCTATAGAATATCTTACAATTTCCGGGATATGCATAAAATCCATCAGTTGAGCAAGCTAATTGACCAGCTAATGTCGTTGTGACTGCTTGGGTTGTCGTTATTACTAATGGTTTGGTTGTTGTAGTTGTTACAACTGCAGCTTTTGTTGTCGTGGTTGTTGCAGCAGCTTTTGTGGTTGTTGCAGCAGCTTTTGTGGTTGTTGCGGCCATTTTTGTAGTTGTTGTGGCTACTGGAACCTGCAAAAATCATAAAATAAAATTAAATTTAATTTTTTGACCACTTGTAAACTCTTCAAATCATACCGATGGCCCACCCAAAGCGTTTACAACTGCTCTTATTAATGGATAAGTTCCAGTTCCACAAGAATTATCTAAAGGTTCAAATCAATTTAATTTGTATTAAAATATAAAATAATTGAAGCTTAAACTCACCATAATCATCCTGTTCAGTGCTCCAGAAAAAGGCTCCAGGTAGACTTCTTGCAGAAATAATATTCATTTTAGCAGAAATTGATGTGACGTCATCATAACTGATCCATTCAGTACCCAGATACGAATAAGGTGTTTGGTCAGTTCTTAATGTAGTCCAACCACCTGACTTTATTTTTGTGCAGATTGTTCGGTAAGGTATAGCCGATGCTGCATCAAAGAACAAAAAAAAATTGTAAAATATCAATAAGATCTTCCAAAAGTTTCTATTAAATTACCTCCAGTAGCTGATGCTCCAACTCCATTGCTAGATGAACTTGTTAATCCAAAGTTATATCCATAAGAAGCGAGTCCAAGAACAAGTTTACTAGCAGAACAGCCTCCATTAATCCAAGCAGCAGCAGCATTATCAACTTGACTGTAACCAGCATTAGGTCCTGTCGTTGTGTATGGCCACTGCATGTCATAAGTCATAAGGTTCACTAAATCCAAATTTTGACAGACACTTGAAATACTGTAAGATTCACCCATTTGCCACGACCCTGAAGAAACTGCAGCAGCTAATATTTTTCCTTTGTTATTCAAGGCTGTTTTTAAAGTGCCGAGAAAATTCACAAAAGTTGTTTTTTCAGATGGTCTGGAATTAAAAATAGGAAATTAATAATTTTAGCACTATGAAATATTCACTGATATTACGCTGGATACTCCCAATCAAGATCAATTCCATCAAATCCAAGAGCAGTCAAAGCCAAACAGTTACTGACAAAAGTTGATGTCAATGATGAGCTTGCAGCAATAGCAGTAAATGCGGATGTGCCAGCATTATAGCCACCGATTGAAGCAAATAGTTTTACAGATGGATTTTTTGATTTTAAGGCAAGAAACTCAGACACCAAACCTACATTTAATTTTGGAATAAATTTTTAAAATTCTTGTGACTTAGAACTGGTTGATGGATATGGGAAGGATGTGTTACTAGCCATTGATGATAGCTCAATGCAAATAATAGACACAACGACAATACTTGAAAGAATGGATTAAATAAACTTACCGGAATCCTTAAGTCCACCATTAGAATCAGGTATGTAGAATGCATAATATGCATGAGTACAGAGAGTTACGTCGATTTGACTGATTGATGTCTTTTATGTGGAAATAATATTTATAGGTTGTCTCAATTAAAATAAATTAAACTCACCCATGAGCCCCAGTAGCAACCGACAATCTCTGTTACATCAAAAAGAATCAAACGTTAATAAAATATTAGACTTAAAAGTCTTAAGTAAAACTAACTTTGCGATGAAACAGTGTTGGCACAAAACTGCACAAATAAAATAATACAGAGAATTTTTATCATCTCAATCGATGTTATTCAAACAAATTCCAAACTAATTGATTGTATTCAAATGAAGTCTAATAAGTAACTGATAACAGACAAATGTTTTACCAATTATTTTATAGCTTTAAAAAAGTTTATCGTTGCTTGTGAATTATTTTATGACGAAATAAAAATTGTTGAATTTCGTGTGCATTGTGCAAATTTATGTCAAATCAATCAAAACAAAGTTGTTATGAATCCATTTATGGAGAGATGAGCTTCAGTCCACTCTAAAGCACCACAATTTTTCTAGAACATTGGTTTTGAGGTCTGCAACACTTTCTTTTGGAGATTCACATACATGTGATTTTGGACGATTTGTAGGGCTCATTGGCGAAGCTTTAAATAGTCGTCTTTTATTATAGAAATTAGTTTATTGACAAAAACGTGCAGCAAATAGAACTGCAAAATTGTTCGCGTAGTTTAAATTATTATAATTTTTACAGAAAATAGCAGAGATCGAAGCCGATTTTTTCGGCTTAACTCAATTTTTGAATTTTTTGATAGAAAAAAGCCATTTGACACCCATTTCAAGTATTTAAATTGAACTTTACATGCTTTACTATGATTCTGTGAAATATTTTTTCAGCATGTAGCTATAATAAGCTCAGAATTTCAAGTTAGAGAATTTTAAGCCGAAATTTAAGCCGATCGGCTTAGCATCGGCTAATTTGAAATTCTGAGCTCACTATAGCTACATGCTGACAAAATATTACACAGAATCATAGTAAAGCATGTAAAGTTCAATTTAAATACTTGAAATGGGTGTCAAATGGCTTTTTTCTATCAAAAAATTCAAAAATTGAGTTAAGCCAAAAAAATCGGCTTCGATCTCTGGAAAATAGAAACACTTGTTTAAACATATAGCAAGTACATTTCTTAGAATTTATGACGATAGCTCGACAAAAAAGTAAAACTATTGTTATAAGAATGAAAATGTGGCTCTGCTAAGTACATATTTTATTAGATCACTGTTTGAACCAGTTTGATCTTCAAGATATAAATCAAAACTAAGCACATCCAGCTATGTTTGCCTTATAATCACAACCTGAAAATGCTGGATTATAACCCAATCCAGATGGACAATTGAATGTGAAAGCAGTTCCAGAAACACATCTGTAAAACCTTGTACAATCTCCGGGATATGGAAAGAATCCATCAGCTGAACAAGCTACCTTTGAAGGCTTTGTCGTTGGGTTTGCCTATTTTTGGACGAATTTAAAATTGCTTTTTTAAAGCATATGAAATACTTACTGTTTTTGGTGTTGTAGTTTTTAGATTCACTGAACCCTATGGAAGTTCTTACGATAAAAAAAAAATAAATTGTAAGGAAGCAAATATTTACTCACTCCAGAAGAAGCGCCTAAAGCTTTTGAAACTGATGAAATTAATGGAAAGTATCCAGTTCCACAGGAGTTGTCTATAGAAATATCAAACTGTCTATAGATTCAACCCACCATTGAAGTGTAAACTCACCATAATCATCCAAGTCAGCACTCCAAAAGAAGGCACCAGCTAGGTTTCTTGTAGACACAATATTCAATTTTGCCATTAGGGACGTGACATCATCAAAGCTAATCCATTCAGTGCCTTTGTATGAATAAGGTGTCTGATCAGATCTAATTGTGGTCCATCCAGAAGATTTAAGTTTCTTGCATATATCTCGATAGGAGATGGATGTTGCTTTATACAAAATTATATTAGCCATTTGAAAGTCTTATAAATGAGTACTAACCTCCAGTTGCAGATGCATCAACTCCATGACTTGATGGATTAATCAAATTAAAATCATATCCATAAGAAGCAAGACCAAGAACAAGTTTACTTGGCGAACATCCACCTAAAACCCAGAGACCTGCAGCGCTGTTTACTTGAGAGTATCCAGCGTTGGTTCCTTAAAAAAGCCAACATTATCATAATTTTAATTCAAACATTAATCTATACCTGTAGTTGTGTATGGCCACTGAAAGTCATAAGTCATAAGATTAATCAAGTCTAAATTGCCACAAACGCTTGGAATATTATAGGATTGCGATGTCTGCCATGCACCTGAATTAACAGCTGCTGTTAAAAGTTTTCCTTTAGGTTTTAAAGCCGATTTTAATTCAGCAAGTAAATTCACAAAGGCCTGTTTCTCAGTTGATCTAAGAGAATTTAATTATTTTAAGGCATAAAATTTGAATTACATTTTTAATTACGCTGGATATTCCCAATCAATGTCGATTCCATCAAAACCTTTACCAGCTAATGATACACAATTGCGGACAAAACTAGATCTAACCGATGGCTTTGAAGTAATAGCTGAGAATGATGCTGTACCAGCATTCCAACCACCAATTGATGCCATAAGCTTTACTGTCGGATTTTTGGCTTTTAAAGCGAGGAAACTTGAAACTAGAGCTAGAAAATAAGAAAAGAATTTAACGTTGGTCTGGAAATTGAGCAGCAATTTTTACCTGAATCTGTTCTAATTGCGCCACTTGAATCCGGGATATAAAATGCAAAATATGCATGCGTACAAAGTGAAATGTCAATTCGATTGATCGATGTCTAAAAATCAAAATAAAAGATTAAATATTAAAATTTGATGTGGCTCAAAAAAAATATAAATTACCCATGCACCAAAATAACATCCAACAATTTCTGAAAATTCAAATTATTTCAATTTTAAAAATTTAAAAGTAATGAAAATCCATACTTACTTTGAGAACTAACAGTTCCCGTACCCAAATAAAGTAATATTAATGAACAAAATATTTTAAACATTATCAACAAGTCTAAATTGATAATAAAGTATTAGATTGAACTTGAGCTGATTATTGTAACCGAGGAAATAAGCATCAAGAAGCTTAAAGACTCATATTTACACGATAAATCCGTTCCAGATGTGTGACTCATATTTACACGATAAATCCGTTCCAGATGTGTGATAAAAATCTTTCATATTTAAATTTTAATTGTTATTCAAATCCATTCAAACTTATCCAGTTACACTACAATAAAGCTTATGCAGTAACAAAAATAGAGTCGATTCCTATAATTTATTAAAAAAACATCGTAATAATGCTTAAAAAATAAAATCTTCATCGCCCAATTTAATCTGGCAACTTGAACAAATCCTGTCGATTTTTCCGACGCAATTCTCTGTGTCTTTTAACTTCTTCTTCGTGCAAGCGCTTCTTCTCTTCTTCAATTTCTTGACGAATAATTTCTTGACGTTCGCGTGCAGCTTCTCGAGATGCTTCGCTATTGACATCTTTCAAAATATTCAAAAATCTCCGAGCATTGTATGAAATCACGTCCTTCAATTGAGTAGAATCATCGATTACAATTCCAGTTGCTGTAGAAATTTTCTCAAAATGAACATCCTTCAAGTTTGAATTTTTTAAATCCTTTAAAATGTCAACAAGAACCTCAAATTCTTGGATTTCTATAGTAATTTTATGAATATTGTTCATCATTTTTGTATCATTTGAAAAATCATCTCGACATTCCTGAACAATTGCATCATATCTCTCAATTTCCGCCTCAATCGACTGAACATCAAGCATTGACAAAGGCATTTGTTCTGTCCACATTTGCTTTGACGAGAGGAAATTTAATGTCATTGTCCAAAAATTTTGATGAGGATACAGGCGTTCAATATGGACAGTTAGCAATTCCATATCAATTTCAGGTTGATTGAGTAGCAAACAGCGTTTATTGAGTAATTCAGCGTGTTCACGCATGCTGATCAAGTTGTCCCATAAATTAAAAATTTCATCACCAGTTTTATAATTGTTTAAGCATTCATCGACATCATGTGGAATCGCTTTTACTTTCTCAGCGAAGACTGTCAAGTTGCTCGCATGGAGTTTTGTAAATCGTTCCACATCAAATGCATGCTGTTTTTTCATCTCATTAATTTTAAGATTGACAATTTGTGGCATTCGCAGAGCTTTCCATTTCGCCTTAAACATCTCATCCGACAAGTCAATCCAGAATGACTCAATGATTCGAAAATTGACAAGTATCGTCCTCATCTCATTTGAAAGTTTCTGAATTTGATTGGGAATTGATGGAATCCATTTGTTAATGTCATCAAGGTGTTCAATTGTCAATGGTTTGGTTGTCAAATGTTCAACAATTGCATCGTAGCTTTTCTGTATATTCACAAGCTTATTATTTGCTGTCATTACGAGATTCTCCTTTAAGGCTTTTATTACTTCCATTTGTATCTTAATAAGACTCGTCTTGAGATCCTCAATGTCTATGAAAAATGGACCGATAATGATGTAATTTGGTATTTTGAGTCTCAATTCCTCACAAAATCTTATTTCATGATGAATTTTATGCTCGAATTCAGTAACTGACGATGAAGATGCTGTTTGGGTGGATGAGAAAAATTTGTGAGAATTTTATTGAGTTTTCAGAATTACCTTCGAGATTTTGCTGGACATTATATCGGGAACGATGGAAAGAGAAAGAACAGGCTTGATCAGGCGCTTAGCCAGGAGGGTCTTGTCCCTTCTTTAAACGTTTAAGGGGGAACAAGACCCTGCTAGCTACGCGCCTGGGCTTGATTAACTTACTCTCTCATGTTGTTCATGGTTTATAAATGATCACTAAATAAGCTCGTCCATAAAACTGTCCATAAATCAATTCACTCACCTGCTACATCACCAACAAACGACTGCACATCAAGACATTTCAATTCAACAAACTTTTCATATTTTCTTGCATATGCATACAGTGGTATGAGACATTTACGATACGATTCTGTGAGCTGTAAAATTTGATTTTGTATCTCAACGTCAAGAATGCCAATCGATGAAAGTTTCAAATTTTCAACATCAAATTTCAATTCTTTCATTAAATATGGATCAATTTGTGGGATGTCATGTGTTGTCAGAATACATTTATAATACATTTCAAGAATCTCTCTCTCGAGACGTCCATTTTGTAGCTCGAATGTTGAATAGATTGGCATTTTTCGTTCATTGTCGATATTTAGGGATATTTTAAATATGAAATTTTCCGAATGGAATGGACTATTAAGTAAATCATCATCCATCCATTCATAATCATTTGAAATATTCAATAAACATTCACATGGTCGACAAAGATGATTGACAAAGGCTGCAAGGGATGATCTTAGTAATTTCATTACGGATACTTCCATACGCTGCTTTATCAATTCAATCATACGAGATAGTTTTGACATTTTATATATCGACCAACTAGTCATATCTCTCATATCGTACCATCCCTTACCGACATTAGCCAATTGTGATTGAATCTCGCATACAATTCTATCAATCCAAATTGATTTTAAGAAATTCGACATTGAATGAATTTTTGAATTAATTTCAGCATGAAAAGTTTCCCAATTTGTTGGTATGGATGTCTGGATGTGAAAGAAAGACATTCGACTGACAGACTCACATTCATTGTTGATGAATTCCATTATTTTAATTGATTGTGGACAACAATAGAGCCACAATTGCTTGAGATTTCTTTCTGATTTTATCTTATTGTAGATTTCATTGTTGTTGCTATGGTTAAATAAAAATCTAGTTTAAAGGTTAGGTTTCCAGGATTGGACTGAAAAATTAGTCTTTGTGATGCTAGGTTATTGAAGCTGCAATCGGATGCAGTTTCACCTGAGAAAAGTCTAAGTTAAGGTTTCAAATTATGAACAATTAAATTGAGACCAGACAATAATCTTTTCTTAGGAATCAAAACTATTTCTTAGGTTCAAGTTCATCAATAGTTCCTTCAGCCCACAACACCAAACCCCTCCACTTACCTCACACTCACATTGTTGTTATTTTTGAGAAGATTTCTTTCAACATGCAATTTCCTCGGTAATTCAATCTCCTTCTGTTGTTTTAGATATTCACTGCTGGATTTCCTTTCATTTATAAACTTTTTCAACTGTAATGCAACGAGAGTTTTCTGAAAGACAATGCACGCTTCACGTTGATAAAATTCCATTAATTCTGTTTTTGTTTTGCTCATGTTGAGAAGTTTTTCAATTTTATCATAAAGATGCACGAATGAATGTGGAACTCTATTCATGGGAAATTCATTTAATATCGTTTCAAATCTCAAATTACGTTCACATTCCTCGCGATGCTGTATTGCATTTCTCATGCGTTGGATAAAGTTTTGAGGATCCTCAACAATGAACATCAAATAGATGCGAGGCACTTCATAATTGTCACCGTTGCTCACATCCTCAATATGCCATTTATTTGATTCATTATTGTGTGCCTTTATGCTCACTTTATGCCATTCAAAGTCATACGACGATGATGATGTTGATGACGATGTTGTTGGTGCCACCACAGGAAGAAATGCCAAACCTTTTATTGTTAGAAAATGAGAATTTTTAGGCGTTATTAGCTTGGGGATGGTTAACAAGTTACGTCTATAAACTTATAAAATCTATTTCGAAACTTTCTGGTATCCCAAAGATTATGAATCATATGTGAACAAGCCCTTAGCATCCAATCATTCCAAATTGCCGATATAAAGCTTACTCACCTTCCCTACAATGTCGAAAATATTGCGAATCATAATCAACATCAGCTTCAATATCAAACCATTCGAGTGGGAAATATGGAATGTCGCTCGATTCAAACTGATTGAAATTTGATTGTTGACGAAGAATTTTTTGACAGACATTTGTTGGAACTATTCGCTGCTTCTCGATTTGATTCAATAAGGTCAAAATATTTTCAGCATTATAATTTGAATTCATACTGGGGATATAATAATGAAAAAATTTGCACCGGAATTTCTGTATGACAAAACTTTCAATGTTCAGGAATGAAGGTTCTTTTTGTGAGAATGGGAATAGATATGAAAAATTTTTGTGATCCGAATAAAAAATATATTGTGAAATTAAAAATTAAAATGAATGTTTTTGGTTGCTATTATTTGAAATTAAAATCATTTTGTGTCCAAGGGGTTGTTATATCCAACATATGATTTAATTGCAGTGCCTTACTGATGACTGTGACAACCTTAAAACTTCCAAGTTTACAAAACTCGACTAGTTTGCCTTCCTTGCAGCCCCTATTGTACACATGAACACATCAAAGCTGAAAGCGTGCAATTAATTCTACTAATTTCAAAGCCAGAGTCATTTCATTGCTGCTTTTTCATTTTCATCCACAAAGAGACTTTTTTTCCAATGAGTTGCATTCGAAAATTCATTTTTCAAACTTGTCGCTCTCGATGAAAGAGAAAAGACGGGAAAAAAATGCCGGGTATTAATAATATGAGGGAAAAAGGCAAAGAAAAAGGAAAAAAAATGGCATTAAAATGTTGAAAAAGAGCCCAAAATGCCTTTGGGTTATTTGATATCATCAACATTATTTCTTCATTTCCCTCGTGTTCTTAAAATGCTGAAATTGTGTGCTACTGCTACTGCAGCTACTGGTAAGCTGCTTTATAGAGCAATTTCAGATTTATTTGACTGGATTTGAAATGTGATTGCTGTTCATTTTGTCTTTTAAGGATTTGTTGCTAGAGTTTTGTGTGAATGGATCATAGCTGGTTTAGCTTCTTCATACTCTATTCTGTAAATTATACCCTAATCCAATACTAGGCTACAATTTAATTTTTAACTTTAGCTCAATACTTAACTTTAGTCATTGAAACCTTAAAAATAAATGCGCCTTAAAACCACAACCCAATAACTTTGTTCCTTGATTTCATTTCTCGTGCTTTTTTTCTGCCTGCTGACAGACATTTTCTACAATTTAATGAAACATTTTAGTCTTTTTCCTTCTCTTTCGTCGAAAAATAAAATATTTTTATTTAAAAAATCCACACAGCAAGAAATAGTTTTTTTTTCGGTAGATAGTGAAAAACAAAAGAAGAAGTGTAGGAACAATAATGAGGAGAGTGAGACGATACCAAAGAATGTCTGACGGAGGAAAGTTTCAATTCCATTTCTACTCTCTTTCAGCTCTAATATTTCACAAACAAATTCCATTTCAACACTTCTCAGACGTGAAATGAAAGAAGAATCTGAGACAAGGAGGAGAAAAGGCAAATAAGAAATGAAAAATATAAAAAAATAAGTCTTTATTATTGAAGTGACGAATCCACATTTTTCTATAGCTAAAGGATAAGAATAAGAGAAAGAGAAAATTGCATTTAGACAGTCTAGTGGGATTTATAAATCCATGACTAGCATTGTTTGTGACTATTGCTGTGAAATTTAAATTATTGTTGCTTTTAGAGAACTTTAATATTTGGGAAATTAAAGCAGTTTGTCTTTTTGAGGTAATGAATGATCATATTGAGTCCCTATAGGGATAGCTTCTTAGCAACTGACATTATAGCGAGCTTAAATGACTCAGTGGAGTATGGATACTTCATTGCTAAGATATCCATTAAGCGGGGAAAGGTTCGAGACTCAAAAGAGCTGTTAAGATCACACATCAAATCTCAACTCTAGTAAATTTTGCAAAGGCACTAAAACAAACTTATTCAACATGGACATCAGCAACTTCCAACACAAACCTTTAAAATCATCATAATCATTCTTAAATAAATCAATAACTTAAATTTGATTTCCTTAGAAATCTTATCTAAAAGACATCAATCTCTTCAATATGATGAAATAATTCTCATTTCTCACTTTCAAGTATCCATTCAATGCAAGTGCATCTTGAGATTGAAGTGTTTTGTATGTAAGTAACGATAAGATCCTTCCTTTATAATGAATCAACTCTTTAAATAAAAATAAGGAAGAATGATGCTTCTGTGCAATCTCAATGCAATCAATTTTTATCTCAACTTTCTTCTTTCGTTTGCTGGTCTTATCTAGCTTTAAATAAATTTTATAATGTCAATTTAATGTTTCTTAGATGAGTGAAAGGATACGATAGAAATATTTTAACGTTAAGAATTGATAATTGGATGGATGGATGGATGTTGAGTCTAAATTTAGGAAAGGATAGTTTTTTTCAATTTGTCAAGAATTTAGGTTATGTAGGAGGTACTCTCGCTCACAGTGTTGGTAGTTTGACAATATCCTTGACCTATATCAAGCACAGATCTATTCTAAGTATACGGTTAGATCAGCGTTCCTTACTTACAGGACCTCTCCCACCTGAGATGATCCCAATTGCTTGACAAAAATCACCCTAGAAACCTGCGCTGTCATATTATGAACTTCATAAAGCAATCAAGCATGAAACCACATCTGAAACCTCCACATCTTTTAAAGACTCTTTTTGTCTAGCCAATATTTTCTTTGATTTAATCATGTTTATCTTTAGAAACATCAGAGCAGCTTCTTTAATCATGTGGAAAAAGTCAAGTACCGAACTAAGCGACAGCTATTAATTCAAGTACAACAATGAAAACAAAATAAAAACAGCTTCCTCTTTGTGATTCATAATACAAGAATAAATTATGCATCTTTATGAGAAGGAACAAGAATAAAAGTTCATAAATCAAGCATGCATAAAAATGTATGAAAGAAGTCATCAAAAATCCATTTTTGTAATGAAATATGAAGAAACGCATGTAACTCAGTTCCATACATCTCAAGCTGAAGTGACTTATTAAATTATTTATGCATTCATCATGTTATGAACAAACAGAGAACATTAAATCTAGTGGAAGAGGAATCGAGCTTTTATTCATTACTCTTGCTTTTAACCCCCTCAAGCATCTCGCTCATACATTTACAACAGATCGGAAATTATGCGCACACAGAGGATGAAAGTAAGTGGATATGAGAATATGGGGCATGTATATCATGAGTTGAATATATAAAAGGCGCAGTTTAAAGATGCTTAGTGAGATTTAGTTCTAAACTGGTAGTCAAGGGGTCTTCAACTTAGGAGCTAGCATGAATGATGGAAATGTATGCATGAACCTAGTTAGAGAAGTCGAAACAGACAAAAATGACAATTTTATAGATTTTGTTATATTCCCTAGTCTAAAACGCTGAATTAAGGTAGAAATGGCATCTCGTACATCATTTACAACACACACAAAAAATATGCTGAACAATAAGAATAACAATAGTCATAAAGAAAATGAAACTCATCATTTCAGCATTGCAATAATAATTTTCTGCCATTGTTAAAACTGAAAAATGCGAAGGCACAAGAAGAAAATCTTTATTTTTTATGTTTCAACATTTTTCTTTTTCTCAATTTTCTCCTTTTCCACCCATTACTGCGAGTGCCTTGAAGAGAACTGCATTTGTAAAATTGAAAAAATAAATGCCAAAAAATGAAAATAATAAAGTATGAAGAAAGAAAGACAGGAACATTAAGTGAACATTACAAGATGATGATGACTCTTGAAATGATTCTGCGTGTGCATGAAAATGAAAATTTTATTTGCTTTTCATCTTAGAAATGGGAATATAAAGTCTCAGATGTTTCTGTGACTGACACCGTTTTTTCTTGTGTAATCAGATTTTCTTTTGTTGTATATGGCTTTGTTTGGATTTAAAGAGGATTTTTAGGTGAGGATGTTATAAAAAATATAAGAAGCATTTTTTTGTGGGGTTTATTAAGTTCTTTGGTCGTTATCTTGTAATATCCACAGTTGGCAAATTATGTCAAGGCACCAATTTCAATGATCAAAAGATAGTTGATCAGTTTCACTTCCTTGAAGTTATAATAGAAGCTTAACTAGACGTCGTTTATTCTTTGGAAAAGTAAAAGAAAATTGACCTCAGACCTCCCACTCCCCGGCTATGCCCCAGAGTAAGATTGTCTATTTCAGCACTTTTTGGACATAAATCTCCAAAAACAACAGAAAATTGAAAATAGTTCGACAATGACTTTAACTGCCATATGTGTATACTAATGTAAAACAAGTCGACCTCAACCCACGACCTCAAAAGACTCGATCTCTGACCACTCGATCGACGAGGTACTTATCTCACTTCGGGCCGAAGTCTTCAGCTATTCGTCATACACATTTAACAAGTTCAATGCTCAGGCCTATCTACTACAGATATGCTTTTCAAGCCATATCTACACTGACCTTCCTTATTCTATCTTTTCTCTAGTATTGACTTTAAATACAATCTTACACAGCACCAAAAATCCCAAATTAAAGTCACAGTTGCAACACAACGACTCCAAATCCCTAAATTGAGTTTTTCACTCAAAACCACAACGAAATAAAATCATTCTGCACCTGAAGCCAAGAAAAAAATATGGGGCCCGTCAAAAATGAATTCTACGTCATCGGAGACCACTTTTAGTCATTTTTTGTGATTTTTTTCCATGAAACTGTATTTTGTTCTTTATTGGTATTATAGAATTCGCCGAAACGAAGAGTTTGAAACCATTATCATTTTCCTAGCATGTCTGGTTCCTTCTGTAGAGCCATTCGAATACCCACCGATGACGTAGAATTTTCGGGAAAGGGTATTTTGAGTGTAAACAGCCTTTAATAACTTCTTTATTCACAGCTTAAATTTTAGTTTTTCTGTACCAAATTGTGCTATTTCTTCTATTTGTTCATTCAAATTATCATCTTTATCAATACAATGATTGGAAGTTACTTAAATTAACACTTTAAGTTTCAAAATCTTGTAACGAATATCATTTTTTTGAATTTTCTTGTATGTTTTTGGTCAACAAAAAAATTTTATTTTTTCGAAAATTGCTGAAAACATAATTAAAACGTAATACAGCTCAAATTTAAATGTCGAAAGTATGTTTCTAAGGTTCTATTATGTGTTTTAAAAGAGCTAAAGTTACAAATTCACGAGTATTAATTAGATTTTCAGCTGATTAAAGTTTTGGTAATTTTGCTCGAAAATATGTGAAATTTTTGAATTTTATTAAACCGTTAAACTGAAATTCCTATTATTTTTGACGGGCCCCTATTCAAAATTAAATTTCTCACATTTCAATACTCAGTGCATTAAAGTAAAGAAGGGTCGATGAGACGCAGCAGCATCAGAATAAAGAAATTTCAATGATTGGATCTACTAAAAAATTTATAATCAAATCTATTAACAAGACTAGAAAAATCCCTTTTTCTATGCTAAAAAAAAAGTCAGCACGAAGATGAAGGAATGACATAAAGAATCAAACCATAACCATAACAATAATTGAATCACGTGCATTCGTTAAAAGCCAACGATACACAATATAACGAAAGGGAGAAGCAATTTTAACAATGAGTATGCAAGTACGTAACTAAGTGCGGAATAAAGACATAAAATGTAGGGTTTCTGAAGCCGTTAACGGAAACGGAAAAACAGCCGTTTTTCAGAGAAAAATAAAAACGGAAAACGGCTGTTTTTTTATAGCCGTTTTTTCCGTTTTTCTTTTCTAGCTCGTGAAAATTTTAGGTTCAGAATAAAATAATATTAACTCCAATAAATCTTTCATACTCATTAAATTTAAGTTGTTAAGTTTTGTAACGACTACTTGATGTTTAAATATTTTTAAAGTTTGAAGTATCCTGTTTTTTTGTTATAAGCTAGCTTATAGCTTAGGAGAATAAAAAAGTGATTTTTTTGGCTCACTAGTAGCTTAGTAAAGAAATTGAACTTATATGAAATTTTTTGAATTTTTTAGCTTAATTAAAGAAATTTTGCTATCTTCTCGATTTTATTTCATTGACAATGCATTAGGCATTGAAACTGATACTTAGAAAGTTGAGAAAGATTAATTAAACTTTATTTTTGGTAGTAGCTTAGTAAAGATTACAAAAAATTTTCAAATTCAAAAAAACTTTACTAAGCTAGTAGCTTAGTAACGAGTAGTAGCTTATAACGAAAAAACAGGGTGTGAATAAAAGTTTTTTTAGACACAATACACTGTAATAAGTTCGTTTTTTGACAACAATTTCAGTATGTGACTAAAACCGTGCATAAAACACAATTTCGGTAGAATTAAAAAAACGGACCCGTTAACGACCGTTTTTTGGAAAAAAACGGAAACGGCCGTTTTTTAAAAATGCCGTTTTTCAGAAACCCTAATAAAATGTAATAAAAAATTTTCTTTTCTTATCTATTTATGATGATGACGATGAACATTTTCATGATAAGGGGTATGAGGGCGTGTGCCACACATGAATTTAACAAAAAGTCGTCGTAGATTTTAACAGCATGATGAAAATAATGATTGAAAGGTGATGAAAATCGACCTTAAAACGTTTTGTGGTGTCGTTTGAGGGTTTAATCATCTGGAACACATTTAAATTGTGTGTGCATTAATGTGGTGAAAATGTGTTTGTTTAGTTGATTTAAGTAGGACATGATTTGAGGATAGAATTGGATTTTTTTGACAGATATTGACAAGTTTTTGAAATTATGACAAATAAATAATTGTAAATCATTAGCGTAGCTTGATGTAAACATGGTTTAGGATCTGTTGGAACCAAATTTACATCAATATTTCCATATGGGGCCGTTCACTTATGACGTCCAGTGGCGGGGGGGGGGGGGGTTCAGCAATGAAATGAAAAATGATCGTTAAATTCGGACTCATAAGTGAACGACCCCTATCCAAAAATCAATTTTGACCTGAAACATTTGAAACTTCAACAAAAAAACTCCCAAAAAACTTTATCCTGCATTCATTTCCTCACTCTATCGAACAGCATACAAACAATACAATTTCACTTTTAAGTCCAATGAAAAGGAAACAAAATGCAAATCATGACCTTTTTCTCTCATTTTAGAATTATTTGCATGACAATGTTCAATGAAATGTGTTTAAAAGCATCCAACTAAGCACAAAAAAGTAAGTGAAGTTCTAAATTGATTTCTCAATTTCTCTGTTCTTTTACTTATTTTATGGATGTATGCAAAGTGTGAAGGGTTAATGTTAGGTAGGATTTTGTCAGAATTTGTGGCAGGAAATTTAAGTTTGTTATTACTTTGGGATGATTGTAAGGGTCTAATGCAGAGCTGCTCAACCTTTTTCTTCATTAAGCCACAGTATTCTTCATGCAAGACATTATGGCTTACTAGGTCAATGCTGTGGTACGAGATTCATTGTTTCAATTCAATTAACCTACAAATTCCAGAAAAAATCATTAAAAATCCACAAACCCTTTAAAAAATCTGACAAATTCCCTCACAAGCCATCCACTTGCTTCACATCGTCTTTTACATTCATTGACCATATTGAAGCTTTTATCTCTTCACACTCAATAAATGCAAAATGTATGTAAAAATTTAAATAAATTTACAAGTCTGGTCACTTTCTAAATTGAAATTTTGACTGTATTTGTCTACAATCCTACAGATGTCTGTGTGCATTATGGTGTGAATCTCTTTTAACCAGCATTTGGTGATATTGAGAACATAGCAAATGTAAATTGCTGAAAGCAATAAATTGAGATTCTTGTGGTGTAATTTTCAATTCTTTGTTTGCGGTTTTATCGGGGAATAGAGATGGAGGTGTGTGTGGATGAATAAATCGATGAATTGAGGGAATTGAACATTTAAAATCAATTTTCTCATTCCCCATTCTTATCGTGCTTCATCGCCTCGTCCCGTTCATGAAATTTAAATGCAAATATTTGAAATGAGATTGTTCTTTAAAGTTTTTTTGTGTGGAATTGAATATGTAGCCACTAATACATGGGAAATAAATGTGTTGGAAGTGCTTAAATATTTAAATTGGAATATTTTGATGAATGAAAAAGTTTTGTAATTACTGCTGGAATTGGAAGGAAAGTTTGAACTTGGTTTAAGCTTTAAAATATTGATTGGACAATCTAAGTACATCTTGTGGATATAGAGGAATCCTGACTTAGTGAAATATCTGATTTTTCATGAATTTAGAAGGTTCTTGAAATAATCTTTGATGTGACTAAACAGCAAAAGCATCAAGTGCACGAAAAAGGACTTCCTAAAAAGAATAAATGACGAATGAAGGCAATAAACTTCATTCTGAATCGACTTGACTCAAAGAAGCTACAAAAGAACCAAAAGTCTCCATCATTAACATTATTTCCATTACAATGCCATCAGCATAAGAAAAGAAGAAGTTTCGTCACTTATTTTATCCATTGAAAAAATCTTAGAGGATGTCCTTAAAAGCTTTTGTTGTCATAATTCAACATTTTATATTAAATTCAATAATTAAACTTACTTTTGTGAGTGATTTTCTGTTTGTCACCATTTTTTTGGGGCCTTGAAAATCAAAAAACTTTTGTCCAAAAAATTCAGCAATTAAAGCAAAGTTAAAAATAGTGAAAATCATGATTCGGATCAAAACATCAATTAGCTTTAAATTGCCAAAATAATAAATAAAAAAATTCGAAATTTAAATGTCAATAAAGTTTTAAAAAATCGCGAGTCATGAAGCAATTGATTGCTTTTTTATTAGTGTCATGTTTTGGTGAGACTTTTGCAGAACTAAACTACAAAATTATAAAAATTGAAAGGTGTACTGGAGATAACATTCGAATAAAAATGGACAAGTGTGAATTAATGGATGGAAATTATATGAATATAAGGTTCAATTATATCTTGCCAGTAGATTATTCTCTTGTAAGATTTTATGCTTTGCTTGACTAGTCTTAACAATGACTAAGCCCTATTATTATTTACTTAATATTTCAGTTCAAAATGACGATTTACAAAAGAGACTCGAACAACGAATTTCGTGAATTATTCAAAAACCTTCCAGCAATCAATTGGTGTAAACTTATGGATGGAACTTCAAAATTTTCAGCAAACTTTATGGCAAAAATTACTTTAATCTTAGTCAAATCAAAATTTCCTGAACTAGCACAACGATGTCCTCATGGTCCAATGATCATTGATCGAGCAAACTTTACAGTTGAGAGTAAATTGATTTCAATGTTCCCAAATGGATTCTACAGAATAACATTAACAATGAAGTACAGGAAGGGAGAAATCATGTTTGATTTTTCAATGTTAATGGAACTTGTGTGAATAATAATCAGCACTAAAAATCATAGTCATGTATTCAACAACTTCTGAGTATCATAATATTTTTTTATAAATCTTCTTCATATTAAAAAGGATATCCACTAATAATTTAGAACTCACTGTCATATCCATGAACTTGAATTCGATAAATGCATGTACGATCTTGATGTCCATAATTTTCAGTTACATTAATATGGATATACAGATACTTTTCTGATGATGATTCAAAATAGAAAGTTTGAGAATTCGAGTTGATAACATTGAATGTGAAATTGCCATAGTTGTGTCCAATTTCGTCGTGCTTCTTGTTCATGCCCTGAAAAAGAAAGTATTGAAAACTGCGAAAATGACTTATTAAAGCTCTAGGTTGCATCCTAGTCAAACCAGCAGCATACAGAAACCACCAAACAAACCCAAAACTTACAGAAATAGAGATGAACCGAGGAGCATCAGATATATCCAAATTAGGTGTATTCGATCGTTCAACATGATCAAAAGTGATACTGTCAATCACAATAGGACTCGAAAGCTTGATTGTTATTGATCCTTGATTGCCTTTGAAACAAAAAGCTTCGCCAGGCTCGACATTCTTCTGAATTGCTTTTTCAGGTGGATTAATCTTGTTGCACTTTCCAATTAAAATTGAAAATAGACTGCACGAGTACATCAATTCCGTATTGTGATAAGACACAACACTGCCACCAATATTTTGCAGAGCAAAGTCATAACGAGCTTTCTTTGCAGGAGAAGCAATTGTTTTATGTTGTGGTTCTGATTTGCGAAGTTCTATTTCTTGAATTAAATGAAGCAGTTCTCGTTTTGCATTGAAGATATCTTTTGAGTTAAATGGCATATCCATTTTTGATCCGTTTTCAATGCGTTGGTTCAAATTTGCAATTGCTGTCTGTAATTAGTTGAAAAATGAAGATTTAAAGATGTGATTTCAATATTTATTTGTGATTCAATGACTCCAAGAAGCTTAATATATCAAAAGGAAGGCATCCAGCACAAAAAAATTACCTGCAAAAATTCGATGTCTTCTTCGTAATAAGTTAATTGATTGATGCATCCACGAATGTAAATCAACATTAATATCACACCAATAATTACCAGCAGCGTCTTTCTTGCTCGATAAATAAAGTCATTGATTCTTTGAACGTAAACTTCCATTTTTTTTCTTTCGTTGATTTTTCTCACAGATTTAAATTCAACTGAATGAAATAATTTTTTGAAATTCAAAGATTGCTATGATCTTGAGCATGTCTAGAAATCAACGAGATTAGCATAAATTCAAATAAATTGGATCAAATGTGATTAGCTTCATTGTGGCGAAGAAGGAGTTTCTTCATTCCAAAGCAAACGATCTCTTACTATTAGACTAAATAGGGAATACAACTAAGCCAAATCACTAATAACCTGAATCTTTATTATTTTGAATCAAATAAGCTAATGAGTTTAATTGCTGTTGTGGAAAAATTTGTAATAATTTGGCAAATTCCAAAATTTTGATATAATCTGACAGATACTGAACAATAAGTTCTTTTTGAAAATCAATGTAAAACAAACAACACATTAATCTATTCTTGATGCTTAATTATGAAAAGTGTCAGTATCAAGTTTGTGATTTTATCAGTCTGCTGTATCACATTTATAATGGCAGGCAGTAATTATAGATTCCCAAAAGTTGAAAAATGTATTGGAGATGGAAAGCGAATTGCGTTGAATAAATTTGAAGTTTTCAATGAATTTATGGTCAACTTGAACCTTAGCATTAATGTCGGACTAGACTTTATTAAAGTATGTATTTAAGACTAAATTTGAAAATATAATAGAAAGTTTCCTTTCAGTTTAAAATGAGTGTCTTTAAGAAGAATCCAAATGGTGAATTTCAAGAAATTTTCAAAAGCATTCCAGCATTGAATTGGTGTAAAGTTATGGATGGGACATCAAAACAAACTTCAAATCCGATGGTTAAAATTGCTTTAATGATTGTAAAAGCCAGAATTTCAGAAATCTATCGGCCTGTTTCACTAAGGTGTATTATCCTCATTTTAGGATTATCTATTTCTTCAATGCAAGGAAAATCGAAATAATTTCTTTCTGATGTAGAATTAATTGCTTAATAATAATCAAGCTAGTTTGAGAAAAATCATTTTTCTTGTATAGTGAATATAGCAAAAAAAATGATTTTAGTATATGGATGATCCTGAGATTATCCTAGGATTATCCACATAATTATTCTAAAATGTTAAAACTGGGTCCCACCAAGATTGAAAATTCGGATAATCTTCAGGATTATCCTAGGATAATCAAAGGATAATCCATATACTAAAATCATTTTTTTTGCTGTATTCACTATCCAATAAAAAGATTTTTTCTCAAACTGTTCTGATTATTATTAACCAATTAATTCTACATCAGAAAAAAATTATTTGGATTTTCCGCGCATCGAAGAAATAGATAATCCTAAAATGAGGATAATCCACCTTAGTGAAACAGGCCGTATAAGATGTGTCCAATCGGTCCGTTGATTTTAGCGAAGAACTTTACACTTCCAAATGAAGTAATTGCTTTTTGCCCAAGTGGATTGTATCGAGTAAATCTGTTATGCATGTACAAAAATAATGAAATTATATTGGACTGTACATTTTTGATGGAAATATTTTAGATAATATTTTTAAGTGCTTAATTTAAGGCTGGTTTTATTTAAAATTTGAGCCTTGAACAACATTTCTGATGGTAAATTAAAGCTATTGCTTTAATACACTGATTCCTATTCTATAAAGTTTTTGGTTTATTCAATTTGTTGAAATCTGAGTAAATTTTTGATTCTTTCTGGATATAATGGGATATTCCTCATCTGTAGATCAGTGACATATGAAGCAATGATTAAAAGAAATTTAACACTTTAAACTTCACCCGAATGGATAAGAAACGCGCATTATGAGTGTATTGAGACTTATGAATGTGAACATTAAAGACATAAAAGTAATGAATCGTTTACATGCGAGGACTGATAAGTGAGATAAAGCCATTGGCAAATTCAATTTCTTTAAGTGATGGTAATAAATCTAAGATTTCATAATTGTTATTATTTTTCTATTCACTTATGACGTCCAGGGGGGGGGGGGGTCAATGAGAAAAGAACAATAGAAATTCCTGGAAATCCATTGTTCTTTTTTAAAAAATGACCGTTAATTTCGGACGTCATAAGTGAACGACCCCTAATGAATATTTTAATCTTTGCATCAAAAATAGCAGTCATGTCAGACATTAAATTATTTCATACAGTAAGCATCATCTTTAACTACTTTAAACAGAGAAAGAACTGAGATAAATTCTGACTTGACTTTTTAATGAAAATTTAATCTGAATCGCTTTCTTCCTGCTTTATACCTTCGTCATTTTATGTGTCAACTTACTGCTGTTTATTTATTTTAAAATTTCATTCCTTTTTCTAGATTTTCTTCTTAGGGTTGAAAAGTTTTAATGCATTTTTGAGGTTCAATTTAAAATATTGTGAATAAACGAATTTAGTGCTGTATTCCCGGAAAGTATAGAGATTCTTGCCTGTCCCACGCCAGCATCGTGAATGTTTTCTTAAACTTTTTGGTGCCATGTGCTTTCCGGGTTCTTAACAACAAGAAATTTCTGCTAACGTAGAGGAATTTATCACCCAAATTCCAACCCCTCCCCCTGGCTACGCACCTGATTAGCAAGAAAGTCATCTAAGCTTGTTAACCGATGTTTTTTTCAAAAAAATTTACAATATCCTTAAAATATGTTCATTGGAAACTCAAAACAAATTCATCATTATCAACCAAAAAGTTCCCAAAAAAATTATATAATCATTATAGAATACTGGGGGTCCTCGATTTGAGTAGCTGTTTTGTTCCAGCAAAGTATTGTTCAAATCGAATCTACTCAAATCGAAGACTCATAGTATTCTCTACAACTGCTTCAATTCCATGAATTTGCAACATTTTGTTCCAATTTATTTTCCAATAAGTTTCATCAAAAAAACTGAAAAACAAACAAAAATTCAAAAATTAGATTTTTTTTCTTCATCTTCTAACAAAAACAAAAGGCAGTGGAAGGTAAACAAAAAGTCTAAAAACAGGAAAACTGCAAACAAAAGAAGAGAAAAAAAAAATCACATTTTAAGCAACAGAAAATAAAATATCATAAGCTGCAGGAAAGGAAGCAAAGGTAAAGGAATGTTACCAAAAAATGTATTGTATATTTAGGAGATGAAGGAACAAAAGAAGACTAACAAAATCAATATTGAAGCATAACGAATGAATGAAATAACATTTTTATGAACTTTTTTGTGTGTTTTGGTTAGAGCGGGTGTTGGATGTATCCATTTTAGGATGTTTTGGTTTGAAAAGAAGGTTTCATCATTAAGAATCGAGGTCTGGAATCGAACACTTGATGGTTTTAAGCAGAGCTCGAAGTCGATTCGGGTTGACTCACCTTAACTGGCAACTTAAGTCATTAGGCATCAGCATAAAATCCGTTAATTCTTTGTAAGTTCCTCTTAACTTTCCAAACCCATTCAATTTCGATTCTAAAAGTCCATCGAACATATTTTTTTTTCTCCTGATCCAATCTTATATGTGCGGTGCCTGTAATGTTCTTTTACAACTCTTTCAATTTTTATATTTCTTACATTTCGTGTTTTTTCTTCCTTTATTTCTCTTGAAATGTTTTCAAAATTGTAGCATACAAAACAGAGAAATTGTAGAATGAAGGCAAAAGCAAATTTACGTGTGGCACAAGCAGCATGAAATATGAAAAGCTTTTATGTGATGTTGCTTTTAGGATTTTTTTTTTATTACCTTTGAACGAAAAAAATAAAATAAAAATGATGAAGAAGATGAAAGCACATTTAGTGCTAAAAATAATACATGAAAAACCTGTAAAAATCGGAAAAGCAATGAAAAAAATTCCAATTTTTCTCTTGACATGAAATTAAGTCTACGGAAATTACAGAGCAACTAGTTGAGCTTCCTTTCCATCACAGAATCCATTTTCCGCCCATCAACTTTTTCATACTGTGATGAGATGAAGCTTTAATCTACCAAAAGTTTTCGTACAGCACTACGCATATCCCCTACCTCTTCAGAATATCCCCATCACACCCACACATTAAGGCACATTCGCTTAATTCTCATGCAAATATACATCATACAGTGGCATTAATCCTCATAAACTTTTCATATCATTTTTCCTACTGTGCAGCTTCTCATTTTACATTTAACAACGCTCTAAGCAAATTTTATTTTCACTTTTGGTTGTGCTCTTTGCTTAGCTATGCTTACATGCCTTCTGACTCCCCCCCTCGTGTGTGAGAAATTTGTAACATAACTTTTTCTTTCCTTTATAATGTAGCAAAAAAATATGAAAATTGGCAGTGAGGCATCACTGTGTGTAGTGTGGTGAAACTAGGTTAACTATAAATGTAGAAGCTGTTGGAAGCATATAAAATTCTTTGAAATACTCATCTGTTGATTTCTTTCATGTGAAAATGTTAGATTGAAAGGAGCACATGATGCTTTTGCATTAATTGATGCGTATTTTTAACTTTTGATGAATAATTGTCAAGTCATTACTTTATACTTAAAGATAAGTTCAGAAAAGAAGTGAAATGGCAGCGTTCACTTAAAAATGTACTTTAAAATCCCTCACCTACTTTATATTCCATGCCAAAAGTTTCCCTTTAAAGAACATATCAAACAACTTTAAAATAAGCAAAAGTCACTGCCTACATACATACATTCATGTATCTTCTTGTATTTATCTTCTTTATATGTATGAAAATAAAAGGAAGAAAAGGAATCGCACAAAAAAAGGAAACTTATTGATTTTATTTCACTCCATCAAAAAGGCTTACGATCTCTAATACGACACATAAAATGGAATACATTACGAATATTTTTTTTATTCTTAGTAGCATATAATGATACATATGTACATCCATACGTGTCTATATGTACAGAGGAAATCTTCTGGATTGGAGGGAGATGTGGAGGAGAAGAGAAAAAGGAAGAATTGAAATTAAACTCACATGTAGGAATGAATGTGTATGTGATGTAAACATTAAAGGAATTGAGATCCTTTGAGATGATTTTGTGACTGGATGTTTTAGAATTTAAATGGTGGTGCAGATTCCTAATCTAGTCCTTGTCTACTTTTAAAAGAAAAAGCTA